TGGCTCCTCGCCCCTCCCCCGCCCGAGAATCTCCCATTTTCTCCGTGTTCTGAGTGATCAGAATTTAAGGAGGAAACATGGAGAAGCCTTTGCAAATGTTCTTACTGAAGAAGCCCGGGGACGGGGCGGGCACTGGGGCTCCGTGGCAAGGCACCAGCTCTGCATGCATGAGGCTTTGGTGGGGGGGGGGGGGATAGCTTTGCATGTTGGGGCCCCAGTTTTGATCCCTGAGTTTGATTTTTTGGGGGGTCACACCCGGCGATGCACAGGGGTTCCTCCTGGCTCTGCACTCAGGAATCACCCCTGGCGGTGCTCAGGGGACCCAACGGGATGCTGGGGATTGATCCTGGGTCCGCCGTGTGCAAGGCAAATGCCCTCCCCGCTGTGCTATTGCTCCAGCCCCTTGATCCCTGAATCCTGAGCCGGGGGCAGGGGAGGTGCCTGGTGTTGAGCACTGAACCGGAGGCAGGAGCACACCTGGTACTGCTGACCCAAGCCTGGACATTATTTTCCTTGTTTTAAATTTTTCAGTTTGGAGCCACACCTGGTGCTCAGGATTTACTCCAGGTTCTGTGCTCGGGGTCACTCCTGGTTGTGTTTAGGCATCACTCCTGGAGGGCTTGGGGGGAACCATATGGGGTGTCATGGATCAAATCTGGGTGAGCCACCGGCAAGGCAAGTGTCCGGGCTGCTGTACTATCTCGTCAGCATTTTTTTTTTTTTTTTGCTTTTTGGGTCACACCCAGCGATGCACAGGGGCTACTCCTGGTTCATGCACTCAGGAATTACTCCTGGCCGTGCTTGGGGGACCATATGGGATGCTGGGAATTGAACCCGGGTCGGCCGCGTGCAAGGCAAACGCCCTACCCGCTGTCCTATGGCTCTGACCATGAGTTCAAGAATATTCCTGACACAGTGATGCCCAGGAGATGCGCCATCAGAATCACACACAGCCGGGGGATCCAACTCCAACGACAAGCCCGTCCCGACTTAGACGAGGGTGGTTTCCACCTCAGAGCTGGGCCAGGCCATAATAGGGTCACACACGACCCCCCACCCCCATGCTCTGCCCTTAATTTCTTCAATAGCATTGCATTAAAAGTGATCCTGGGGCTGGAGTGACAGCACAGTGGGGAGGGCGTTTGCCTTGCATGCGGCCAACCCGGGTTCAATTCACAGCATCCCATAGGGTCCCCTGAGCACCACTTGATCACCTGACATCCTGTCACTCATCAATTCGCTCGAGCGGGCATCAGTAACGTCTCTATTTGTCCCTGTCGCGTGCTAATGGAGCCCAATGGCGTCTGCTCGTTCTAGGAACATGAAGAGCTTCAAACCCATCATTCAGGGTCTTGAAGAAGTCTGACCATCTCATAGGTGGGCGGCCAGGCGATCTTTTGATGTTCCATGGAATCCAGTCAGTAATAGCTCTAGTCCAACGGTCGTCTTTAAATCTCATTACGTGACCAGCCCATCTGATTTTCGACACCTTGGCATATGAGACAGCGTCCCTGATCCTTGATCGTCGACGGATGTCAGAACTCCGGATTCTTTCTCTCATTTGAGTGAAACGTGATATTCCAAGCATAGCTCTTTCTATTCTTCTTTGGGAGACCTGAATGGCGTTCTCATCTTGTTTGCGTAGGGCCCAGGTCTCTGAGGCATATGTTAATGCAGGAAGAACAGTGGAATCAAAGAGATGTGCCCGGAGCCGGAGGTTCTTCGTCCTCTTAGCTATTTCTTCGACGTTCTTGAAGGCGTTCCAAGCCGCTCTCTTCCTCCTGCGCAGCTCGGGTGCCAGGTCATTTGTCATGTTGACCTCTCGACCTAGGTACACATAGCTGTTGCATTCGGAGATGGTCGTTCCATTGAGAGCGAATGAAATGTCAGGAACGAGGCTGTTTCTCATAAACATTGTCTTTGTGAGATTCAGCTGTAGTCCAACCTTTCCACACTCACGGTCAAAGTCGGCCAGCATTTGTGCCGCTTGGCTGATGTTTGGTGTTATTAAAACAATGTCATCAGCAAAGCGGAGGTGGTGTAGTTGCCGACCGTCTATCTTCACTCCCATTCCAGTCATCACATGACATTCTCGAGGGTAGCACTTAAGAGTTTCGGTGAAATAGTATCACCCTGCTGAACCCCTCCCTTGAAGTCCATGATCACCCCCCTGAAGTGAATCCGCAATACAGCTCACGGAAGATCCTGACGTACTGAGTTTGAACGCCCTGTTTGGCTAAAGCTTCGATGACCACTTCAATCTCAACAGATTTAAGGCCTTCTTTAAATCAATGAACGTTAGACAGAGTGGCATCTTGAACTCCCGAGAAACCTCAATGAGCTTGGTTATCGTGTGGATATGGTCGATGGTGCTGAATCCTTTGCGGAACCCGGCTTGCTCGCATGGTTGTCCTTCATCTAGTGTCCTGCCAACCCTATTCAGGATGGCTGTCTGTACTTTCAATGTACGTACACTGGCATCGGATACGTCCCCCAAGCACCACCAGGAGTAATTCCTGAGTGCAGAGCCAGGAGTAACCTCTGTACATCGCCGGTGTGAACCCCTCCCCCCAAAAAAAAAATCCCATCACTGATACTTTTTTTGCGGCTGTGGGTTTGGACCATACCCAGCAGTGCGCAGGGAACCAAAGCAGGGTCCCCACAGACGAGGTCCCATGGGTCCCATGCCCCTCTCTGACCGACACTGGCTAGTGGCCTTTCCATCACCTGCTGATTCCTTCAAGTCTCAGGCAGGAGCTGCTGATAGTTCGGAGTCTTACCAGGAAAGCAAGACGTGGTAGGTGACAGGAGACACACGGTGGGTAGCGCTCACTGCAGGTGGGGGCGGGGTGTGTGTGCGTGGAACCCCCGTCAGGGACAGTTTAAAGGACAGAACAGTCTCTCTCATAACTGGGATATAGAGACGTGCTAAGTAACAAAGGCCCAAAGGCAACAAGAACTAGAACTTTCCAGCAGCAGGACGCTCTGCTGGGGGAGGGCCACGGGAGGACGCAGGTATGTGGCATTGGCGCGTTTTGGGCCTGAAATCTGGAAACAGTACTGCCAACCCCAGGGCCCAGAGTGAGAACTCAAATGAAATCGTAGGGGACTGTTTAAGCCTTTAAGGTCCATAAAGGACAGAGGTCAGTAGCAGGGACAGGGTGTAAGGGTCAGCAGTCCCTTCGTCCTCAGCTGCAGGGATCTTGCATGTGGTTTGTTGGGCTGTACCTACCCCTACTGGGGGGGGCGGTCAGGGGTTAAGGGAGCACTTTTTTTTTTGAATCACTGTGGGATAGATCCTTCCAAAGCTGCTCATTCATGATCGGGTTTCAGTTACACAGTACTCCAACAACACCCAAACCTCCACCAGTGTAAACTTCTCAGCACCGGTGTTCCCACATCATGTTGCGTCCCATCACCCCACACCCAACCCCCTGCCTGCCTCTGTGGCAGGTGCTCCCCTCTCTCTCTCTCTCCTCTTGGGCATTGTGGTTTGTAATAATGATACTGAAAGGTGATTCTCAAGGATATTCCTAAAAGGGCTGGAGCAACATGCAGAGGGGAGGGCATTTGTTTGCCTTGCAGGAGGCCTACCAGGGCCCAATTCCTGGCATCCCATATGGTCCCCCAGCATCTTCAGGAACAATTTCTCACTCTGAGGGCAGAACCAGGAGTAACCAACCCGAGCATTGCTGGGTATACCCACCCCCGCCCCCGCAAAAAGAAAAAAAAATCCTTTCCCTACTTCTAATACTCAGATCTTGCCAAGCGTGACCGTCCCGTTACTGTCCTGCTGGTCTCTCAGGGCGCAAACCTGGGATGCCACTTAGAAGCAACTGCACTTAGCCAAAGGGACTTAATTCAAACAGCTGAATCCTCAGACACATTCCCGGAACTAAGAATCGAACACTTACCATACCCTATCAGTTCCTAGAAAAGAAAGCTAATAAAATCTTGATTTTTTCTTTTGGGGGGGGGGAATTTGTTTTTGAGCCACATCCAGTGATCCTCAGGGCTTATACCTGCCTGTGCTCTCAAAGATCACCCCTGGCGGTGCCGTATAATGTGCCAGGGGTCACACCTAGGTTGGCTGCACAACAGGCAAGTGTCCCCCCGCCCCCCCCGTACCATCACCCTACGCGTGTTAGATTGGGGACCACATCTGATGTGCTCCGGAATCACTCCTAGAAGACTCTGGGGCACCATGCGGGATGCCAGGGACTGAATCTGGGCCAGCAGTATGCAGAGAAAATGCTTTACCCCACTGTGCTACTGCCATGTTCCTGTACGTGCATTTTTCTTTTTTGCTGTTTGGGTCACACCCAGTGACGCACAGGGGTTACTCCTTGTTGGGATGCTGGGAATCGAACCCGGGTCGGGCCGCGTGCCAGGCAAAGGCCCGGCCCGCTGTGCTATCACTCCAGCCCCACAGCACAAGGGGAGCTACAAATTATTTTGTATTCAAGATGCTTTCATAATCGAAAAGTTAATACCAGTCAATCTGTGCTACTAAAATGCCCACTTGAACTTGGTAACTAAAGCTTTTAATCCAGGTTTTCACCGTTTCTGAACCGAATCCCTCCCCCTCACAAACGGGGTCTGATTCCAGGATTTTGGGAAGCTGCTGTCTGCGCAAGGGCCCCTCACCTCCTGCCACCTGGAACCCAGGGAGCCACAGCCCCTCGAGCCCCACTTCCAGGCCCCCAGAACTGTGGGGGAGGGGTCAATTCCGTCCCGGCACCAGGGACCCTGACTCAGCCGACCTCCCCGGAGGATCCGAGACCCGGTTAGCTCCAGTCCCTCCCGCAGAGCGTGCGACCCCAGCCCAGAGCAGCACCAGCATCAAGGGAAGCCGCGGGAAGTGGCATCGGGACAACGGGGGTGGTCGGGTGGTAGGTGCCAGCCCGGTGGTGACGCCGCCGTCCCAGCTGGGGAGAAAGGGTGCCCGCGAGTTCACCCACAGGCCTTCATGCCAACACCCCACACACAGGCTCCAATAAGAGACTTTAATAGCGGATAAGACACGGCACGCAGGTGTTCAGCTGCTGGGGGACGCCTTGGGCTTGCTGGGTGTGCGGCGCTTGGGGGTGCGGGGCGTCTTTGCAGAGGCTTTAGCGGTGGTGAAGAACTTGGCCTCTGGCTTTTTTGGAGTCTGTGGCCTTGGGACTCTCTTCCCCACGGAGGGATTCTTGTTCTTCTCGGCCTCTTCTGTGACTCGGGGCTTCTTTCCAGGTGTTTTAGCCGGGGTGCCAGGCTGGGCAGCCGCGGGGGTCCTGGGAGCAGGGAGGGACTTTCTCTTCTTCCCAAGGGGGGTGTTGGCAGTCTCCGGAGCAGGCTTCTTGGGGGTGGATTTCTGTGGCTGCGGGAGGAAAGTCAAGTCAGGAGCGAGGGGCAGGCGCCTGGCAGTGCCAGGGGCTACTCCTGGATGTGCCCTCCACTCAGGAACTATGCCTGGCAGTGCCGGGGGACCATACCGGTGATGGGGATCAAACCCAGGTCGGCGGCCTGAAGGCAAGCGCCCTCCCTGCTGCACTAGGGGTCTGGACCTGTTCTGGTGTCAGAACTGGTGTTCGGGGATCACTCCTGGTGGGGTTCGGGGGCCACAGGGAAGGCCGGGACCAACCCTGCGCAGCCACAGGCCCGCCGTGTTCGCTGGTGCCTCAGTGACATTGGGAAAAGCAACCGAATCCCACTGGAGACTGCAGGAGGCTTGGAGAGCACCGTGAGGACTGAGCCCTGGGGTCTGCCGCACACGCAGCTGGCCTGGAGATTGTTCTCTGCACCCCAGCCCCATGGGACCCCCCAAGGCCTGCTGGGAGAAAGCCTGAGCGCTGCTGGGGGCAGAATGCCCCTGGCCCCCCAACATACAAACGGCCTCACTTCTTGCTGTTGCTTCCGAGAGACCCCCAAACGCCATTTCTGCTGAGACCCACGGTGGGGGGGAGGGGGAGAGCCCACAGGGCCGTGCTTGGCACGCAGCGCCACTGGGCTCGACATTCGGCCCCCCAAGGACCCCAAACACTGCCATGAGTCACTCAAGTCGGCTCAGGTGTGGCGCGGCCTCAACCCCAACCCCAACCCCAACCCCAAGGCGTGGTCTCAGCAACACACTCAGATCAGTAAGGGCCAGTTGCTCCTCACCCCGGGGCCTTCCAATGCCGTGTTGACACCAGCATCGAAAGTGTCCTGGTCACATGCCAGGATGCCCGCACGCCGCCGCGGGACAGACCAGTAAGGGGAGGACCTCCGCGCTCTCCTCCCGGGACAGGGACGAACCTTGGCTGCCGGCCCCTTGGGCGCGGCTCCTATGGGCACCAGCGTTGGGATTTCCTCCTCGGACTCGGCGCGCCCGCTTGGCTGGGCCTCTTCTCTGCCTTCCTCTCCCCGGCTCTCCGCGAGGCCAGCCTTCGGGACCGCAGGGACGCTTGCCGGAGGAGCACTGGTCTTGGGGGCGCTTGCCGGAGCAACACTGGTCTTGGGGGAGCTTGTCGGAGGAGCACTGGTCTTGGGGGAGCTTGCCGGAGGAGCACTGGTCTTGGGGGAGCTTGCCGGAGGAGCACTGGTCTTGGGGGAGCTTGCCGGAGCAACACTGGTCTTGGGGGCGCTTGCCGGAGGAGCACTGGTCTCGGGGGCGCTTGCCGGAGGAGCACTGGTCTCGGGGGCGCTTGCCGGAGGAGCACTGGTCTCGGGGGCGCTTGCCGGAGGAGCACTGGTCTCGGGGGCGCTTGCTGGAGGAGCACTGGTCTCAGGGGCGCTTGCCGGAGGAGCACTGGTCTCAGGGGCGCTTGCCGAAGCAACGCTGGTCTCGGGGGCGCTCGCCGGAGGAGCACTGGTCTCGGGGGCCTCTGCCTTGGGGGCCTGGTTCAAGGCGGCCCTGGCGGCCCGTCTGAGCTTCTTCTGTCTATTCTTCTCTCGTTTCTTGGCAATTTTCTGTCGTTTTATCTGCTTCTCTTTCTACCGCCCAGAAGACAAAGAAGGTTCGAGTCAGAGGCAGGTGCTGAAGAGAGCAGCGTCCGGCAGGAGGCCGGCACCTGCGGCTCCCCCAACCCCGGCAGCCCAACTTCCAGCTCTGTCGCATTGAGCAGCCCCACCAAAGCCAGTGACAGACGGGGGCAGCCGCCAAGGCCACGGGTCTGCTGGACACACACCAGGCCTGCATCATTTAGAGGTGGGTGGGGAACGCCCCACCCTGCCCCACGGGATAGGGGTCACACCTTCTCGTTGTTTTGGGGCCATTCCGGGCCACGTAGGGGACTGAATTTGGCCAACCCTGAATTGCAGCTTAACGAAGCTGCCACCCAGGGCTGGGCAACACGACAGGGGTGGCCCCGCACCCTGCTCGCTGCCCCCGCCTCAAGGTTGGAGTGCCACCGGTGACCCCGGTTAACTCACATCCTCCCTCTTCTTTGCTATGAGCTGCAGGTCTTTGTCCTTCTGGACGCTGACGAAGGAGGAGAAGATGGGCAGGGACACCGACTTCTCCGTCTTCACGTACAGGAGCTTCACACTCTCCCACTTCTGGAAGGGCAGGGAGTGGGGTCACCCCGTAGGCCGGCGTGGAGGCCGGTCCCCGAGAGCGCGGCGAGCCCATCACCCCACCCTCCGCCCCCGGCCCAGGCAGGCGGCACCTCCGGCAGCTTCTGAGCGAGTCCATCAGCAACAGCCACGATGTTCTCCACCACACAGCGCGCCGCCATCCCGCTGTGGCCCACGCGGACGGTGCTGAAAAACCAGGGTCCGGAGCAAAGGCCTTTATTTCCCGAGGCCACTCCCGAGGCTTCGAGAAAGAGGAAACCCCCACCCCGGGCACCGTGCATATAGCTGGAGGGGCAGGAGTGGGGGCGGGGCCTCTGCTCACAGAACTCCTGCGATGACCAACACCCCCCCTCGGATCGTGCAACTGGTGAAAGGCAGCCCACGTTCTAGGAACGCCCACCTCCGAAACCACTCCATGGGGGGGGTGACCCCGACGCCTGCCTCAGGGCACGCCCCTCTCCCCGCAGCTCCAACCTTTGCAGACGGCTCAGCTCTCTCTCACCCCCACAGCCAGCCCCCAGCACCCCCCACCCCTGTTGGAGCAGAGGACAACCAAGCCCAGAAGTACCCGTCCACCCGGGGTTACAGCAGGGGCGCTGAAGGGAGCCAGGCTGATGGCCGGGCTCTGCGTGCACGCCTCCTGGAAAGCTGGGGGGCGGGGGTGGATGTGCGGAGCACAGGGACGGGCACTCTTCAAGGCCACCCCCAGGCGCAGGCCCACACACCTGCAGGAGCCAGCCTTGGAGATGTTGAGGACGGTCCCGTTCACAGTCTCAGTGATCTCGCGCGACAGGTCACTGGCCTGAAGGTTGACAGGGACCGGGAACCTGGAAGGGCACAGCGGCGCTCAGAGGCCGGGGACGGTGTGGCCGCGGGGCAGGGGTGGGGGCGCCGTCCCGCCCAGGCCTACTTCTTGCGGCTGTAGAAGTGGCGTCCCAGGTAGGTGGGCAGGAGCCGCCTGATGCGGGCGTCGGTCAGGAAGAAGTCAAAGCTGCCCAGGAGGCGGCGCTTGGCCTCGAAGGCCTTGTACTCAGTCTTCAGTGTCCGCACCGAGATGACCTGTGACAGAGGCAGACGCAGCCCTGGAGTTGCCCCCCAAAGCCCACACCGCCTGCACCCAGCTCCCAGGAGCGGCCAGAGCGGACGTGTCGTGGGCAAGGCGGAAGGGGGCCGGCAGGGCACCAGGCAGCCCCTGCTGGGGACACGGAGATGCCCTGGAGGATGGCCCACAGGATGGGGCGGAGTCACCCGCGGGTCACCCAGGCCCAGGGCGCCAGGACAGCAGCTCCCCTCGAGGGCACGGGAGGAAAGTCCTTAGTGAGGCGGATGAAACCAGGCGTAGAGAACAGAACGAGAAAGAAAGTGGAGCCCCTCCACCAGGGGAGAGAAATGCTAGGTAGCGGGACTGCACTGAAGGGCATTTCAACTAAACTAGGTCCATCTGGACCATACAGGGTGTTGGAGACTGAACTGGGGCGGGCCACATGCAAGGCACATGCCCTCCCCACTGTCCTGTGGTTCTGGTCCCCTGAATCTGACCTTGACGCCGTCTTGAAAACATGAACCTACCTGTGACACGTTTTTGATTCCATGCTTCTTCAAGAGCTTCCGATAGAAACCTTCTGTCTTCTCCGGAGTGGAATCGGGCTCGTCCTTGGTGAACAGACAGACTTCTGCCAAATCGGATCGAATGCTGTGGGGCAAGGGTCTGCCAGAAAGAGGAAGGGCGCAGGGGAGATGTTACCAGACACGCGTGGGGAGGCAAGCCAGAGCACGGAGCCCTCACACGCTGTCACAGTATCAGGCATGGCACAGAGATCCCCAGCACACAGCCCAAGTGCTGCCACTGCCATGAACCCTGTGATCTAAGTGAGCACTTGGGACATCACAGGCCGATCCCCAGGGACGGAGAGACGGCTCAGAGGCCCGTAGTGCATGCTCGGAATACAGGGAGGCCCAGCACCGCACCACCCACCCTGCCCAACACACACACGTTATCTAGAGATGGTGAATCAAGTACAAGTGCTTAACGAAACAGTGCAGGATAGAAAGAGACTGTCAGTGGAGAACTTAACGTCGTATATGAAGATTGATGCTCGGGGATCACTCCTGGCAGTGCTCGGGAGACCATATGGGACGCTGGGGATCAAACCTGGGTTGGCCGTGCGTGAAGAAAGTGTTCTACCTACTGTACTATCTCTCCAGCCCCTTGGAGATTTCTTTTGGGGCTGGAGCGATAGCACAGCGGGTAGGGCGTTTGCCTGGCACGCGGCCGACTCAAGTTCGATTCCCAGCATCCCATATGGTCCCCTGAGCACTGCCAGGAGTTACTCCTGAGTGCAGAGCCAGGAGTAACCCCTGTGCATCGCCGGGTGTGACCCAAAAAGTGGTGGTGGTGGTGGTGGGGGGAGGGGGGACGGACACACAGACACACTTCTTTTGGAAGTGGGTTGAGGCCACACCCACCAGTACTTAGGGACCTATACTTAGGGACCAGTGTTGTCAATCACACCTGGGCCAAGGTGAGCAAGGCAAGCCCCTCCCGGGCTGTCATCCGACTCACTCTGGAACCAGATTCCCAAGGAAGCCAAACAGATATTTAGGAAAACAAAAGCTGTTTAGTCTAAAAGCCAGGCCTCGTAAGAATGAATGAATGATAAGATTCGGTCTCAGCTGTCCCCCAAGCCTCAGGAATGAGCCAGTGGAAATGTCTAGAAAATCCCAGCGATCCGTATCCTCATGCCCTGGGTTGCATCTCGCTTCCTTTCTGCCAAGTCCCCGTCGGAAACTGTCAAGGGGGCCCCGCGCCGGATGTACCAGGCGGAGAGGAGGAGCCAAGGTGGCAACTGAGAACTTACAGCCGGGGCTGGAGCAATAGCACAGCGGAGAGGGCGTTTGCCTGGCACGTGGCTGACCGGGGTTCGATTCCCAGCATCCCATAGGGTCCCCTGAGCACCGCCAGGGGTGATTTCTGAGTGCACGAGTGCAGAGCCAGGAGGAACCTGGACCATCCCAAACGGCCCCCCGAGCACCGCCAGGAGCAATTCTGAGTGCATGAGCCAGGAGTAGCCCCTGTGCACCGCCAGGTGTGCCCCAAAAAGCAGAAAAAAAAAAGAGCACTTACAGGGGGACCCTCAGCTCTTTGCTGGGGATCTTCCACAGCACCACCATCAGGAAGAGCTTCTCGTTCTCATTCAAGAGCAGCCCGTCCGCGGTCCTCCGGTCCTTGCCACGCGCCTGCAGCGTCTCCACGGCCCTTTTCACCTGCAGAGCGGATGCGGCAGGACCTGAGCCTCCCCCGTCCCTGCGCATTTTCTCTCTTTTTTTTTTTTGCGCTGTTTGGACTTTTCCCGGGGAGGGGCGGGGGCCTGGGGGGGTCCACGCGTTGGGCAGGGCGGCCCCTGCCCCAACCGCCCCGGTCCGGGCCAAGCGCCCGAGCTCCCTCCCTGCACGCTCCCTGCGACCCTCGATCCGCTGCAGCCGGCGGCCCCCCACCCCGGGGTGGGTCTCCCGAAGACCCTCGTCCGCGGCGTCCTCCCCCGAGGCCGGGGCGATGCACGGGGCCGAGGCCGGGGCGATGCACGGGGCTCGCCGCGGCCCCCGGGCCCCCCGCGGCCCCCCAGGCCGCCGCCCCCCGGCCCCCCGCACCTGCTCCTCGTCCAGCCGGCCCGATGAGGTCAGTCGGGCCAAGGCGGAGTCCGAGGCGGAGGCGGCGGCCACAGCCAGCCGAGTCGCCCTGTCCATGTCGCTTCCACCTCGTGCGCGCTCCCCGGCCGCTGCCCGGAACCGGAACTCGGCGCGCACGAGGCCGGAAGCCAGGGGGCGGGCGGGCGGCGGGCACGCGCGTCACTTCCGGGAGCAGCGCCCGAGAGGGGCGGGCGCTGGGGCGTTGGGCGGCCGGAGATTGGCGCGCGCGGGCGAAGCGCGCCGGAGGCCCCGCCCCACCCCCGGTCACGTCATCTCCCGGCGACGACCGCCTCGCGCGCGCCTCGTGGCCGCCGACCGCGGGGACTGGCCAGCCCGTGCAGCGGTCCAGACTGTTTTTTTGGTTTTTTTTTTGGTTTTTGGGTCCCACCCGGCGATGCTCAGGGGTTACTCCTGGGTCATGCACTCAGGAATGACTCCTGGCAGTGCTCGGGGGACCCTATGGGATGCTGGGAATCGAACCCGGGTCGGCCGCGTGCAAGGCAAACGCCCTGGCCGCTGTGCTATTGCTCCAGCCCCATGACGTATTTTTATTTTATTTTTATTTTTTGCTTTTTGAGTCACACCCAGCAATGCATAGGGGTTATTCCTGGCTCATGCACTCAGGAATTACTCCGGGCAGTGCTCAGGGGACCCTATGGGATGCTGGGAATCGAACCCGGGTCGGCCGCGTGCAAGGCAAAAGCCCTACCCGCTGTGCGATCGCTCCAGCCCCCAGACTCTTTTCTCGAGCGAGGGCGGTGGGGACCTCTGTCATTGCCCAACTGGGGAGCACCAGGCTTCCTCCCGGCTGCCTCCTGGCCTTGCCCTCCGGGATTACTCCTGGAGGGCGCAGGGGACCATGTGCGGACCGAACCCGGGTCGGCCCGTGTAAAGCAAACACCCTAAACGCTGTACGATCGCTCCAGCCCCGTATCCTCTTTTGGTACCATTTGACCATTTGAGGTTGGGAGTAACATATCTATTACAAAGCTACACATTGAGAACTTTGTTTCCTTGGGCAGACTTTTGTGGTCAGATGCATAGTTTGATGCCTAACCATGTTTCACAAGGTTCTGTTGACCCATCGATGGGCTAGGTTAGAAACCTAATCATTCAAAAAAAAAAAAAATGTGGGTAGGAAGGTGTGAGTAATTACTGGGAAATGTCACAAGGCTTCAATTTTCAACTCCTGCATGAACTCCTGCTTTGATAACAAGCCTGCTCAAATGAGGTGTTTGGTGGGTGGGAGGCCAGTTTGTCCACACCCAGTACTCAGGGCTTACTCTGTGCCCAGTTTCATTCCCAGTGGGGCTTGGGGGACCATATGTAGTGCTGGGACCAAACCCAGATTGGACGCAAGGCTAACACCCTACCAGCTGTACTTTATTTCGGGCCCAAAAGTTTTAACATAAGACTTGTGGTTTAATTTTTTTTTCTTGGGGGGAGAGGGTCATACCTGGCGATGCTCAGGGGTTACGCTTGCTTGTCCTCAGAAATTATTCTTGGTGGTGCTTGGGGCTGTTGGGATCAAATTCGGGTCAGCCATGTGCAAGGCAAATGCCCTACTAAGACAATGTTTAATGCTTAACACGTACAGAGTGAATATGTGATTCTCTCCCCCTGACTATAGTTAAAGCAAAAATTCATCCTAGTTCTATTATTAATAATCAGAGGTGAGTAGAAGGGGACGTTTTGCTACCATTCCGAGGACTAATTTTTTTTTTTTTTTAATGAAGCAAGAAAGCTCATGTTTAAAAGAGAACATGGGTTTCTCCAGAGTGGAAAAACCCACAAGCAGAGACAGACAAGCACTCCAGGAGCCAGCCCTGTTTGCTTTCCTGATTATTATTTTGGATTTTGTTTTGGGGCCACTCCTGGTTCCTGGTGGTGTCTGGGGAACCTGAGGTCGTTGCTGGGGTTTGAATGAGGGTCTGCCACATCCAAGGTCCTTCATCCCCACCTTTCTCTGGCCCTCTTCACCATTATTAAAAATCCCAGACATAAGAGAGCTGGGTGCAGTTCCCACAGTCCCCTGAACACCATCAGATGGCCCCCAGCACTGCTGTGTGGTCCCGAAAGAAAACAGAAAACATGGAGCTGGAATGATAGTACAGCAGGTAGGATGTTTGCCTTGCACATGGCTGGCCTGGGGTCACTCTCCAGCATCCGGTATGGTCCCCCCGAACAATGCCAGGAGTGGTTTCTGAGCACAGAGTCAGGAGTAACCTCTGGTGATCGCCGGGTGAGGCCCCAAAACCAAAACCCGAAGCCTCAATGTAGAAGTTCCTGGTTCTCCATTGAGGACAGCAGCCACTCACAGTTCCTACCGCTGTTTGCTCAAACTCGATCACGAGTGATTCCAAAGCACTCCCCACCCGCCTTGAGTGCTCGCTGCTGTTTCAGTCCTCGTATATCCACCAGAGGCCTCGCACACATATGCAGCAGACCCCACGTTTACATAGCACACGGGGCCACGGGGAGATGGCCCCACGCTGGGCACAAGGGAAAGACATTCCGCAGACACAGTCCAAGTACAGCGGATCAGAAACAGACGCACAAAATCTTCAAAAGGGAAAGATGACAATTTTTATTGTTACAAAAGCAACATTTTCAAACTTTAGTCATCTGCGTCACTGCAGGAGCTCAGGGCTTTCTCCTCACCCCACGCACAGCGGGTAGCTACCAATCGTGACAAGGGTCCTTTCCCTGGGATTCCTGCTGAGCGCGGGCAGCCATGCTTTGGGATCAGGGTAAACCGTGAACTCCTTAGTTCCCTTTCACTGCTTCCTTCAGAGCTAGGAATTAATCTGTCTGTGGAGAGATCCGTGTTTCCTCCAGGGCAAGCCCAGGCAGAGGGGCTGTGCCCTGCCTGGCTGAGAGGGGCCTCAGGAGGCAGGACGCCTGCACCCGGGGCTTCCATGGTCCCTTTGAAAGGCCTCGAGGACAAGGCAGAGAGGATGGACCTCATTCCAGGGGTGGTCCAAGAAAGCCTTGGTGTCCAGCTGCTATTTCCTTTATTCAGAGAACTTAAAGGTCTCAGTCCCCATGCCTCCAGGTCCCTGTTACATTCCCTAGTAAACTCAGCTGGCCCATGGGCACTTCAAGGACACAGGGTCAGAGGCGTGTGGAACTTCTGACCCAAAGACTTGGCAGGTTCCAGGATTCTGAAACCCAGGAATAAATCAGAAGTATCCTCCAGTTCTACCCATCACATCTCCCCTCTCTGAATCTTGCCAGCTTTCTGGTTCAGACTGAACCCCCAGTACCACCCCAGGCAACTAAAAGCTCTATTTCACTTTCTGTGAAAACTAATGTCACACACGAACCGCTACATTCAAAGCTAGGAAGTCTCAAGTTGTACAGTCTAATTCCACGTAATGGACAAGGAGCTGTCGTGGAAGGTTCTCTAAAGAAACAAGATCATGTGCAGATGGCATCTGGCTAAAACCACTGAACAAAGGAACCGGGAACAAGTCCCCCAACCCTTCTGATGGCGGTCTAGCTGGCCAGGCCGGGAGACGGGCATGGCACAGTTTCTTCTGCGAAGGCAGGAGCACGCTAAAAGGACAACGCACACACTCATCTACCATCGGGCTCGCGTGCCCAAACCTGGATCTTGGCCAAGGGCTTCAAGGTCGCAAGAAGGTTGCTCTGGCCTCTGGCCAGCCACCGGCCTCTGCTGGAAGCGAAGTTGCCGTCTGCGGCATCGTCCACGCGTTGGAGGGCCATCATGGGACAGGTCAAGGTCAAAGACAGTTGGAGGAGCAATCACAGTCCAAACTCAAGTCCTCCAAGGCTGCTGGGGGGCCAGGCAGATTTTTCTTCATCGGTTCAACCTGGGAGTCGTTGAGGCCAAGCGGCACTGACCCAAAAGGCCTGCGGCTCAGAGGATGCCAGGAACTGCTCACTGAATTCTGGGCCAAGTCCAAGCCATGTCTTAAGCAGCTCTTAATGCCATCGGCAGACAAGTATGAGTCTCCCTTATACAGGGAACTTGTACTTTCTCACACTTTACAGAATTTTTTTATTTGGTGATACCATTCCTAGAGACTTTCAAATCCAAATATACACGGGCTTAATTATTTGAGAACACCTATTTTTTATTTTGTTTTGCAAATTGGAAACAAATGCTGTATTTCTCATCTGTGCGAAAAGCAAGGATTTAAAATGGCGTTTTTTTCTTCTCTTCATTTCTGCTCATTAATTTAAGAGGCAATACTTAATGTAGCCTAAAAGATATCATTAATGGAAAAAAGATGCAAATAAAATGTAGAGGCTAAAGGTAGGGGGAAAATGTTAAGCTCTGGAATATCCCAAATATTCAGCCAATTATCCTATCTTTGTCTTGTGAATCATAGAAATGTAAGACCAAAAAAGGAAGAAAAAGAAGACAGTGCTTGAAACCTGCATCTCAAGTTCAACATTCCACGTAGTGCCAATTCTGTTTAGACATTTTGTTTGTTTCCATGTCCAAAAACTAGCCAGAGTATCCACTAATTTAAAATACATCCACTGGAAGTGAGGCTACTTTCCAAAGTACTTTTAAAAGCCCGTAACACTTGGTGCGGTCAATTTACAATGAGGTTTCTTTTAAAATATCTGCTTGCACAAACGAGCAAGAAGCCAGTGAAATTATTTCCCGATGACATTAGTGGTTAGTCACTCAAGGCGGGCCCATGATAGCTGTTATCTATCCATTTTTTTTTTTTTTGCTTTTTGGGTCACACCTGGCGAAGCAGAGGTTACTCCTGGCTCTGCACTCAGGAATTATCCCTGGCGGTGCTCAAGGGACCATACGGGATGCTGGGAATCGAACCCGGGTCGACCGCGTGCAAGGCAAATGCCCTACCCACTGTGCTATTGCTCCAGCCCCTCTATCTGTCCATTTTAAAGAGTCTTGGCAACATGCACGCAACTTTCTAAAAGCGTACATGTTTTAATGTCTTTTTAGTGTACTCAATGAAAAAAAAAAAAGGCGATCTTTGGGAATAATTCCAGTGGCTCCAGACCTTTCGGATTCATTAAAATCCCGCAATTGCCAGTACGTTCTTCTTGCTAGCCGGGAAATACAAAGAATTAACTACGCACTGACTAAATCTTCTCTACTTCGCGGAAAAATGAGAGCCTACAGATTTGCAGACATAACGAAATTGAAATTTCATGCAATTTAAGGGCCAAGAGCACAGTTACAGGAAGGCGCAGGACGATCATTTTACTCTGCCCGTGTAATTACTCTTATTCATAAAACAAACGGGAAATCTAGAGTTCAGAAAATAAGATAGGAATAAGCTGAATGTTTTGTGTTTGGAAATAATCTGGCTAGGCATTTCTGAGCGAGATTATGATTAAGAAAAAAATATCCGGGAAAGGGTCTCATTAACGACAGTTACAAAGTATCTTATTTGAGTTAAACCTAATCTGCAAGAGGTTCCATTGCAAACAAGCGACAACACTTAGCAAGAGTCTGATGGTCCATAAGCCAGAACTTGTCCCATTTCCCATTTGCTGCCATAAAAAGGTCAAAGCCTTTGACGAGAATCACTGTGGGACATTCACCTTCAGTCTGAAGCACCCAGAACGTTGCACTGTGGTTCAGCTGTCTCAAGGTTGAGCAAATTCCACTGACACTTAAGAAAAACAAATTCCCAGTAACTGACTCTGTGCTTGATCGCATTTAGCGTTAACTTCAGCATGCAGATTCTGACGATGCCTCAGTTGCCGACTGTCGTCAGCAGCAACCAGCAAGGGATGGCTCAGCCTTGAAAAAACTGCTTAATCCGTACGTCTGGTGCTGTCACGGAGACGGTGTCCAGACCGGAAGTGTACAGCACTGATAAAATACTAAGGAAGGCGTTTTGGCCAGGCTTCAATTTGGGGGGGACATAAAGTCCACTACTTTAAGGAGCTCATGGGATTTTGGGTCAGGGCACACTTCATTATGCCTATGCCAACGACAGTATGTAGAACAGCTTATGAGTGTCAGACACAATGTTAAATTATGAAACGGGCAGAAAGGAACTGATGGAACGGTGCCACCGATTCAGTCCATGCTGACCGCCAGAGGGGCCAGTCCTAGTCTTGCCTTCGGTACCAACGGGAACACTGTAAAATGCGTCACCGGAAGGAGTGGACAGGGAGGGAGTTTAGAAAAAAATCCAAGCGATAAAATGTCTTCGATTACTTGGTCAAGTCAAATAGCGAATGCAACACTGTTCTATCCAGATTAAAAAACGTTATTCCAAAGCAATTCAAATACCGAAAAAGGTTTCAAATCGAATATTTTATTAACATGGTGGTTGTCTCTGAAACGTGTGCACACGCACGCACGGTCCGAATGATCCCCCTGGGGAAAAGAGACGAAGGATGCCTAGACGGGAAATGGAAAATAAAAAATTCCTGTAGGGTTTCATTATTGTCGGCAACTACGTCCACATCACTTACAAAGCTATTGCCAAATCTGTCCAAGGAAGCGGAGTTTGAGGAGAGGAAAAGAAAAAAAAAAAAGAAAAAAAAATCCGGGAGAAATTCAACAGTGGCATAGCAGAGCTCTCAATATGAGAAAGCTGACATAATGTGGACTTTTGCTGTGAATTTTCTCTTTGCGAAGTATGGGGAGAGGCTGGTCAACGGGCAGAAAGGAAGAGAAGGCGGTGTGAAGTCGGCTTCTGCAGTCACTTTTCCTCACAGCATTGTGCAGGGTCATCGAGAAAATGCTTTAGTCTTTCTCTGGAACCAGTTTCAGAACTTTTCCAATCGCAATAGTCTTACCTGGAAAGGAAAGTTTTAAGGACACCCTTTCAGTAGGTAACAGCAAGGTTACAGAGTTTACTTTCAACCATGAAAAATCTATTTTACAATGGCAACATGCCTCTCAGTCGGGTTTATTTATTTTCTGCTTTCCGGGTCACACCTGGCGAGGCACAGGGGTTACTCAGGAATCACTCCTGGTGGTGCTCGGAGGACCATACAGGATGCTGGGGATTGAACCTGAGTTGGCCACGTGCAAGGCAAACGCCCGACCTGCTGTCTTATCACAGAGAAATGTTTTGATGTTATCAAGATATGAAAGAAACTATTGCTGCAAGAAATGTCCAGCTTCACCCAGAAGTAGGCAGAAATGGACAAACCTCATTACAGCCCCATCAAATTTAGTTCAAACCAAGCAAGCAGCCTCAGGGCTGAGAGATGGCTCAGGGCAGGAGCAGTCCCCGGGACCACTGGGCACTCATGTTTTGTTTCTGACTTTTGGGGCCGCATACGCGGCGATGGCCAGAGATCATCCCTGGCTCTGAACTCAGGAACCGTTCCTGGTGGTGCTCCAGGAACCGCGTGAGAAGCCGGGCAAGTGCCCAACTTGCTGGACCATCAACTCTGGCCTGGCACCAACAGAGACTGACCCCAAAGCCGAACCAAACACATCCTCCTCCAACCCCAGTTCAAGGGGCTGGGGATGGCACAGAAGCTGACCCGTTAGAATCCCAGCACCACAACGGGTCCGGAAGCGTGCCAGTTACGGCCTCAAAACAAAAACCAAGTGCTCGCTTCGGCAGCACATATACTAAAATTGGAACGATACAGGGGCCATACATTAGCATCCTTGCCCCTGTGCAAGGATGACATGCAAATTCGTGAAGCGAATATTTTTGATCACTGTATAACTGAAACCCAAGCACAAAAATTTGTAAGTCTATAACTGTAACTCATGGTGTTTCACTAAAACAAAAACAAAAACAAAAAAAACCCCAAAAAACAAGTCCTCTTTCTCCTAAAATGTTTCTAAGTAATTTTCTTTCAGTGAAAGCTATTTTGCTTCACTAAAAAATGAGACTAAGCGGAAAGCTCAAACAACAGCAACTAAAAACCTGACTTACTTAACAAAACAGAGATTTCGATATTCTCTCTCCTACGCCCAGAACGCTACTGCAAGAAAGTTCATTCTGTCCACTCTGAGTTTCATTCTGCCCCTGCAACACGCAGTGTCACCACGACGCAGCTTACCCTCGTCTCTTAAGGTGAAGCGACCCATCTGAGGGAAGTCCTTGAAGGTCTCAAGGCAGATGGTCCCAGCCGTCCTCAGGCGCGCAATGCACACTTGATCTTGCTTGACGAAACGGGGTCGGGTCTTGCTCTTCTCTCCGGACTTTTTGTCTACCAAGCAGATTAAGGCCTAGCCGAGACGAAGGCGACGGGAGATCAGGGAGACGAAAAGGCACGCCAAAAAACACTCCGGAGGCCGTGGCGACTGTCCGGCAGGCAGGGTCAGGCACACGGCAGACCCGAGCTCCAGCCCCAGCCCCTCACGCCGCGCCCAGAGCCAGAGGAGTGACCCCCGAACGCAGAGCCAGGAGTAACCCTGAGCACAGCTGGGTGCGGCCTGAAGCGAAAACAAAATATATGCCCCCCCCCCCCCCATCCAGCACCCCCCAAACCATCTTAAAGTAACCGGCCAGCCCTCCAGAGACTCACTGTGATCTCGACTTCCTCGATGCAGGTGTGGATGTGCAGCACCGCGTTGTAGCCGGGGCAGATGATGGACTTGTGCTCTATGATCACGATCTGTCAGAGAAACGCACGATCCTGAGCCCTCGGCAAGCACAGACCGGAGTGTCCCCGAGGGTCCCAGGAAAGCTTCGTGACTGTAACTCACAGTGATTCGAGAAGGAAAAAAAGATATATGCGTGTATATATTTTCTTTTTTAAAAAAAGGGCTATTTGCTGAGAGGAATTCAGTAAAATAAAAAAAAAAGTCATCAACGATACCGCAGAGAGAAGAAACCAGGGATCGATGTGAGAATTCACTGTAAGCCTATCAATTCTAATTAACGTAATTCTCAAAAACGCTAAAAAATAAAGTTTTATTTTGCTTCGACTGAAAAATGAATAAACTACGACAAGATTCTCCGCACAGCAGTACGTGGGACGTCCACGAAGCTTGGCCTGCCGACCCGTCCAAGCGCACACGCGCGTCTCCTCAGCCTGCCTCGCCCCGACACTGCCTTTCCTCGTAACCCCCCACCCCAGAAGTTCTCCACGGCTGCTCACCTACTGCCACTTGCTTTTTGGGGACATAAACTGCCAAACGCTCCCCATTTCTCAACAGCCAGAGAGCGAAGCTTCCTCGCCCAGAGACCACGCATTTCTGGCACCTGGAACGGCTCATTCCCCTTCACACCCCTCCGCGGTCATGGGCCTGCCACCAGTGTTCAGCACAAAGGGACTGAACAGAGTGACTCTGTTTGGACCCGACCGCTGAACTATGGCTGTCAGGTTCACCTGTGCATCAAACGTGCGTCCAGAGTGACACAGATTATTAGGATCACAAAGGATGAATCCGGGAAGAATCTCCTCTTCTTCAATTCCTTTCAGTCTGATTTTGAGGTTTTCACCAGGGGCTACGGAATCGGTTTCCACGTCATCAGAAAGAATTCCAAGGACTTCCACGTTGTGCTGAAAGAGAAACCAAGAGCAGACGTTTTAGGGAACAATCACTGCAATGTAACGTCACGGAAAGAAACCCAGAGCAGAGGCTTTAGGGAACAATTGCTGAGACTTAATGTCACCAGGACAGTCCCTAAGGGCCCCTGAGTCTCACTCTCTGGTTGTGACAGGGATCCAATGTTTTTTTTTTCTTTTTGGGTCACACCCTACGATGCTCAGGGGACCCTATAGGATGCTATAGGGGACCCTGTATTGAACCCGGGTCAGCAGTGTGCAAGGCAAACGCCCTCCCCACTGTAGTATCACTCCAGCCCATCAAACTCTTTCTTGTTTTGTACACGGGCCACACCCGCTGGTGCTCCCGCTACTGGCAGGTGAGCTGTGCACCCTGCAGAGGTGCAGGGCTCAGGGCCATCCCCAGCGGGTGTGGGGGCCCCGCAGTTCCAGCATGCAAACCCAGGGACTTGCACGCACCCTACGTTGAAGCCATCTCTTCACTCTGAAAATAGCGCCGCTGGTATGAAACCTGATTATATTCATAGGACATGAGCTTCCTGAAAATCACACCCTCCAAATACAAGTGCTGATTAAATGTCATCTTTTCCGTACCCCAACCTAACAACTCCCAAGCAGAGCACAGTCCAGGCTAGCATTTGCCTTTCCCATCTCTTTTTCAAATTAAGCTCTGACGATAGGATCTGACTTATGGCAAGAAGGAAATTCAGGCTCTGACGACACAAACGGCTTCCACTACCTTCTCCATCCCGGGTATGAGCCGCAGGGTCTCGGAGGAGACTCTGCCTGGCACCTGGCGACCCTGGTGTCACCTCTGGTGTCCCCTACCGGAGCACAGCCAGGCTACTCCCTGACAAGAACAGAAAACAAAGCAAAAGCTCAAAGGGCTGGCACGCGCCTCTCAAAACTCTGCACCACTCAACTTAAGAACCATACGGGAACCGACCCGACAGCCCAGAGGGGAGGGCGTTTGCCTTGCATGTGGCTGACCCGGGTTCGATCCTTCTTGAGGGCAGAGTCGGGAGGAACCCGAGCATTGCTGGGTGTGACCCGAAATGCCAAAAAAAAAAAAAAATCAACAAGAGCACTTGACTAGGAAGGAATAAACGCAGCTGTCACGAGCATCCCCATATTTTATTCATTTCTGTCCCTGGAGATACTTCGGACTTTAAAAGCATGGGCCAGAAGGCAAAGCATTGGCCACTGAGACCAGAGAGGCCGAGTGACCAGGACCCACCGACTGGCCTCACACCAGAATCCTCCAGAACCCTCCAGCCACTGCTCGCCCCCACCCCACGGCAGCTCCGGCCGCTGCTCCGAGCCGACACTCGGCCACACGTGCTCCTGCGACCCGGCCCAGAGGGGGAACATTCTGCCGCCCCAGCCAGAGACTCACGCTTGCCCACCAGGCTCCGTACCAGGACTGAGGGGTAGACACAAACACGCAGCCAAGAGGAGTTCCCGCCCAGATATACCGACAACCATCCCACCTTCCTGAATATCACGGGCTTTGCGGTTGGTTTCTGCGCTGTGCTGGTTCTGCACAGCAGCTTCCTGGATGCCGAGCGGTGGGTCAACAACCAATACAGTAAAGCCATGGACCCATCTACTGCCCACAACTAGCCAACCGGAAGTGGCACTTGACTAAGTGATACCAGACTCAGCAATCACCTGACTGTGTGGCATCGAGTTTATGGCATCGGTGAAAGACTGAGCCCCCCGGACCCCGCGGCAAAGCGGCCCTGAGGCTGAGGGCCGGCTCTTACCTTGTTGGGCATCATCACAAGCTGCTGGCCCTTACTGATGGATCCCGACTCGAGCTTCCCCAGGACCACCGTGCCCATGTCCTGTTGAGGGAAAAGAGACAGACAGCCGATCTTAAACTTTCATTCCTTTTTCAAATTTCTTTGTGGGTCACACCTGGCGATGTTCAGAAGGGCTACTCCTGGCTCTGTGCTCAGGAATTACTCCTGGTGGTACCCGGGGGACCAAACGGGACGTGGGGGATCAAACCCAGGTTGGCTGCATTCAATGTAAGTTTTACAGCCCCAAGCAAAATCTTAACACCATTTACCCATATGGAAAATCAAGAGAGAGAATGCCTGATTTTGGGGGGCTAGGGTACACGTGGACACCCAACCGGGCGTGCTCCTGGCTCTGTACTTGGGGTTCACTCAAGGGCCGGCTCTTGACCTGCGGTTCTCTGCAACCCCAAACAATTTGGCTTTTCAAACAAAATAGCCATTAGCCGCCAATACTGCGGAGACTCTGGTTCCAATGAGCACTCAGGGGTGGATACAGATCAAAGAACTGAGGGCATGCCCTACGTGGGGGAGGTCCCCCAAATACTGCTGGACGTGGACCACCGCTGCCCAACACCCCCCAAAGTGCTCACGGACTCACTGGGAAATTGTTAAACAAGCTATCTGTATAAATCATGGTCTACCCACTAAATAACAACATCAATAAATGTGTCCCTTTTATACTTAAAAACAAAACCATTATTTCATATCCCACAAAACCCAATTTCTTAAATATCTGGGTACCTTGTACTTATCCACAATTGGCAGCCTGATTGGTCCATCGACGGATCTATTGAAGTTTGGCAAGTTATCCAGATACGGAATAAATGGTAATCCACTGAAAATACAGAACCAAAGCCATTTAAGTCAACAGAAGTTCTAAAATGTCAGTAGTGGGGCTGGAGTGATAGCACAGTGGGTAGGGCCTTGTACGCGGCCAGACCCGGGTTCGATTCCCAGCATCCCATATGGTCCCCTGAGCACGGTCGGGAGTAATTCCTGAGTGCATGAACCAGGAGTAAAACCTGTGCATCTCCGGGTGTAACCCAAAAAGCAAAAAAAAATTAAAAAAAAAAAAAAAGTCAGTAGATGCACGACTTGTAACTCGCCACAAAAACACGGTTACAATAATACTTGATATCTGCAGTCTATCTATGTACTAATTTAATATCCAGTGCATGTTATCTAGTCATCAAATTCTAAGTACAAAAAACACAATAAAAGTCTCAAAATAACGAAAAAACTACCAGGACTATTAAGACATAGAGAAACATAGAAAACCTGTTCCAATAAAATATCTCTATTATTTGGAACTAGGGTTATATAAGCAATTTCACTTTTGTTTTTGGGCTGCACTCAGGAGTGCTTCGGGATCCCTTCTGGCGGTGCTCAGGACCACATGGGGTGCCAGGGATCGAACCCAGTTCAGCTGCAGACAAGGCAGCAAAAACTCTCCCTGCGATCTGAGCGCTCCAGCCCACAATTTCACTTTCAAAAGGCCATCGGATGGGGCCAGAGAGAGAGACCAGGGGCTGAAATGCTGACTGTCTACGAGGCCGATCCTGGTGGCGCAGGCCACAAGGCTCCCTGCACACCACGCGGAGCAACCCTGAGCAGAGGGATGGCCCCGACCCCTGTCCTCCTCTTCATTCCATGGACCGGAAAACGTAGTACTGTTGAGGCAGCGGTGTGTCCCAGTGACAGATAGTGTTAACGAAGCTCATTTTAACTCCCAATTGCTCCTGTAAAAATTAACCCGAGGGGCTGGAGAGAGAGCACAGCAGGTAGGGCGTTTGCCTTGCACGTGGCCAACCCGGGTTTGATTCCCAGCACTGCCAGCCAGGACACTCCTGAGTGCAGAGCCAGGAGTAACCCCTGTGCATCGCCAGGTGTGACCCAAAAGCAAAAAAAAAATCCCAAAAAACCCTCCCAAAAAACACCCTAAACATTCAAATAAAAATTGAAGAAATTGAAGGGACAGCAAAAACACTCTTGGAGGGTTAAGAATAAACAGATGACTTCCCAATTTGAAAACTTGCAAAATTACGGTAATCAAGACTTCACCAAAGGGTAAAAAAAAGAAAAAACCCAAAGAAATCCAACACCCTACAACGAAACCCTAAATTAAGTACATGAGTAAACAAACGCAGAACTAAAATTACAGCACGGGGAAATAGCAGGGTTAGCCCTTTTTCTCTTGCATCTTGATCACACCCAGTGATGCTCGTCCTGGCTCTGCCCTCAGGAATTACTCCTGGGACCCTCTGAGATGCCAGGGATTGAACCCAGGTCAACTGCGTGCAAGCAAAAGCCTTACCTGCTATACTACTGCTCTGGCCCCAGGGTTAACCTTTAATTAGTGAATTAAAATATTCCTAGCTATCACACTGTACGCACACTCGAAACGAAACCAGCATCACGCAATGAAATGAAAAAACACCTGCACGTCCACTCTCCAAGAACTCGGGTCCTAGCACACACAACTCAGCAACCACGCCAACCCAGTGACAAGCTGGACAAAAGTCCTGGCCCTTTGTTGGCTCAGTTTGGCTTTCGGTTTCTGAGCCATACCTAGGCCCCCAGCATGGAAAGCATCAGAGTATCTCCCCAGCCCCTGGAGCCTGCCTCGGGGCTGGAGACGCTCAGGAACTGAGGGACCCGCTGCACGGTCTCCTTCCAAGCCCTGTGGCCGTGAACGACCCCTGAGCACTGTGAGCGCAGCCACAGTCCCCCCCCCCCCCCCCAAGTGCCTCCCCAGGACCAAAGGAGCACTCACCTGTACCAGGGACAGAAATCGGACTGCTCCTTGAGGTTCGCGCCCGTCAGACCCGAGCAAGGCATGAAGTGGATGTCCTTTTTGGGGTTGAAGCCGACTTTTTTCAAAAATGGCACTAGCTTCTCTTTACATTCTTCGTATCTGGGGATATTCATAAATGATCGTCAAAATCCAAAGCATAAGCATTCAAGCTCTGTCGTTACATTAGGTCTGGGGGCGGGGGGAGAAAGCGCAGAACACACGCCGGCCGCCTCGGCCCACCTCTCATTGCTCCAGTTCACGGTGGGGTCGTCCATCTTATTGATGAGCACGATCAGGTGCTTCACGCCCGCCGTCTTCGCCAGCATCGCGTGTTCTCTGGTCTGGCCCCCTTTCTCGAATCCGGTTTCAAACTCCCCTTTCCTGGCAGAAATCACCTATTCCAAAGCAGCAGTTTAGTTCTATACATTCAGGAAGACCTTTCTTTGGCTTTCTGCTTTTTGGGCCACACCCAGCAATGCTCAGGGCTGACCCCTGGCTCTGCACTCGGGAATCCCTCCTGGGGGTGCTTTAGGATCACATCAGGTGCCAGCGGGGATCAAACCCAGGTCGACCACATGCACGGCAAACGTCCTCCCTACTGTCTTATCAGTCCGGTCCCGGTTTCAGACCTTTTTGTTTCTCTGGGGGTTACAGCTGGCTGGGCTCAGGACTTACTCCTGGCGGTGCTTCGGAGACCGGCCAGGGGTGCTGAGGATAGAACCGGGTCAGCTCGTGCAAGACCAGCACCCCCTCCCTGCGGTCCTATCACTCTGGCCCTCATGAAGACACGTCTATAATTTAAAATACCTCTCAGTTGGATCAGATGCGTTACGAAAGAAAACAGAAGGAAACGAATGAATACTACCAAATCTTTCTAACAGCTTCAATGTCTAACAGTCACTACGTTTTTCTTGCAGCCCCCCCCCCAATCCAGCATGCCTGGATGCTTTAGGGGTCACATAAGTATGTGAACTAGTGGCTGTGAACTGACCCCGCACCCCCCACCTCCTGCAAAGTAATTGGCTGCGACACTAATTTCCTGACCTCCAGGGTCAGGGAGCTGATCTGCCTGGCCTGGCTGGTGTCACCTTTCCTCCGCATAGTACCCTGGGCCAGATCAGGCCAGACTGTTCTCGGCCAAGAGGCTCTGAGGGGGACAGTCCAGTGGGAGGGGCACTAGCCTGCACACGGCTGACCAAGGTTCGATCCCCAGCATCCCATGAGGCCCCCTGAGCACCACCAGGAGCAGTTCTCCAGGGCAGAGCCAGGGGTCACCCCTGAGCACCGCTGGGTGTGGCCCGGCTGGCGTGGGAGTCCGGTGGGAAAGGCTCTTGCCTCACGCACGAGTGAGCTGGGTTCGATCCCTGCGCAGGCAGGATAAGCGCTGAGCGCTGACAAGTGTGGCCCCAAACCGAAACAACAAAAAAAGTTGTATGTATCGCTGTGTTCCCCTACTTCAGCACCCAGCAAGTTCTCCTGCAACTAACTTCTTACTTACTCATTTTCTTACTGACAATGCCTAATGAAAAATCATTGCTTAAAAAGACACTAAGTCCTGGGGCTGGAGCGATAGCACGGCGGGCAGAGCGGTTGCCTTGCACGCGGCCGACCCGGGTTCGATTCCCAGCATCCCATAGGGCCCCCTGAGCACCGCCAGGAGTCATTCCTGAGTGCAGAGACAAGAGTAACCCCTGCGCACCACCAGGCGTGACCCAAAAAGCAGAAAAAAAAAGGACACTAAGTTCTGACGCAGTAATAGAAAATAAGAATGAAAAACCTTTTCATCCATAAGCTAATAAACGTTATAAATTACAAAGACTTCCGGCAGATTACAGACAATAGGGAATGGGGTGACTGGAGCAATAGCACGTGTGTGTGTGTGTGTGTGTGTGTGTGTGTGTGTGTGTGTGTTGCCTTGCATGTGCCAGATCCAGGTTCAAGCCCCGGCACTGCAAACGGTCCCCCAAACCAAGCCAGGGGCGACCTTTGGGCACAGAGTCAGGAATGGGCCGCGAGCACTGCAAGGTATGCCCCCAATGAGAAAAAACGAAAACAGAGAGAACTGTGACTACGTTCACTATGTTTGCCAGGTTTTTTAAGCACAACTTCAAATATCCATCATTTAAGTGGGGCTTCTAATAGTGCACGAGAGAATGAAAAATGTCTTACCAGGACAGCCAGATCAGCTTGGGACGCACCACCGATCATATTCGGGACAAAACTCTTGTGGCCAGGGGCATCCAGAATTGTGAAATGCTTCTTTTCTGTTTCAAAATAGGCACGACCAACTTCTACTGTTTTGCCCTTGTCTCTTTCTTCCTGATTTGTGTCTAAGGCCCAAGACAAGTACCTGAAATATTAAAATAAAACGGGAAGAGCATAACTGTAGTCCAAACTCAGAGTTTTCACATATATCCACAACTTTGTGTTTTTATAAGTAAAGACTGTTTACAAAATTACACTTTCTGATAGAAAAAATACCTAGCACCAATGTCAATGTGGGTAAAATCCATTTCCTTTATGTTTCTTTTATCTGAGAGGGGGTCGAGGTTCGGGGCGTGGCTCATACCAGACAATGCTTCCGGGGGCACATGGTGCCAGGAATTCAAACTGGGGTCAGTCGCATGCAAAGGCAAGTGCCTTAACCGCTGTGTTCTCTCTCCAAGCCCCATGTTTAACTTTTATCACCTGGGCACATGTGTAATACAAATGACAAAGGGCATTTAAAAAAAAAAACTGGCTCCACTAGTCACCATTTGGAAACAAAAGATGCTTGCTAAAGTTTTCAATTTTAGGGGCTGGAGCTACAGAAGAACAGGTAGCATTTGCCTTGCACTTGGCCGAGCCAGGTTCGACTGCCAGCATCCCACAGGGTCCCCTGAGCACTGTCAGGAGTAATTCCTGAGCGCAGAGCCAGAGGTGTCCCCTGTGCATTGCCAGGTGTGAGCCAAACTAAGAAAAAAAAAAAATAATAATAATCAAGTTTTCAACTGTGTTGCTTTGCCATTAAAAGCCATCTCAGTGCAAGTCCAGAATAGCAGGCGTGGGCTGGTCATGGGCACCTCCTTAAAACGGAGTGTCTGGGGGCTGGAGCAATAGCACAGTGGGTGGGGCGTTTGCCCTGCACACGGCCAACCCAGGTTCGATTCCCAGCAACCCGCATCCCTGATCCCCAGCATCCCGTATCCCCGAGCACCGCTATGGGTAGTTCCTGGGTGCAGAGCCAGGAGTGGCCCCTGTGCGTCGCCAGGGGTGACCAAAAACAAAAGAGGACAGTGTTCCCACAGAAGCGATGTTTCAAGTCAGGAAGTTTGCTCTATACCAAGTCTCTCTGTTCTTCTCTTTAGCTTCTCGTTCATATTTCTCAAGTGTCCTTTTATCCACCATTCCAGTCAAATACCTAAAAACATTGGACATTTCATTATTCACAAATTAGCGAAACCACAGAAACTAGAGCTAAGGGGAGCCTCAACTCCAGAAAACAGCCACTGTAAAGTCAAAATGGACCCTAAAATAATCATGGACTTTCTGTTGAAAAGGTATTACATGGTCTTAAATCACCTCCCCCACACAAAGGCAGTGAAAAATCACAATTATAGACTCACCCCCGATGTAAAGGGGGGGGGGGAGAGAGAGAGAGAGAGAGAGAGAGAGACATGTCACTACAGCGGTGAATGCTGGCAGATAGCGTCATGATCACATTACCATGTAACCCCGCCTATATTAAGAAGGCGGGTCCCTGACAGGACACTCTGGGAAGAGCACTGTGGCCTGAGTATCTTATCCCAGAGGCCCCGATGGCACAAATAAAATTAGGAAGGGTTAGGAATATAAGACCTTTTCATCAGAAGTCTGGTACTGATTACATCTCAACTAAAGGCCAACCCGGGGGTTTTCATTCCTGGTTTCTTCAGTATAGGCAGGTCAGCCAGAGGATATCTGTCTCTCTGAGTAAGTCCGAAAAACAGAGAGGAGAAGTCCACACGCTAAACAGAAGAGCAGTTTATTATGAGCCCCAGGAAAATGAGAACGGAGAAAGACCCTCTAGCGTCGACCAGGGCACGTGTCAGCTTCTCCATGTCCTCTGTATCACGGCACATCCCGCGTTTAAAATGCCCAAGAAGCAACATACTCACATTATCTGCCCTCCGATGGTGGACTTGCCAGCATCTGAAAGGAACATCAGCATCAGCAACCAATACCAAACAGACCACCAGCTCCCAGCTACACCAACAGCACTGGACGTCAGCCTCCGGCACGCAAGTCTTGCAAAAGCGACCGAAAAGACGGGGCAGGACACGCGGTGCCCTTCCCTTGACAAGACGCGCCTTTTAGAATTCTCTGCAGCTCAGTTCTAAATTAGAACTACTTCACCGGCAGTTCAATTCTGTTACTCCCTGGCTTTCAGCATTAGGGGAGGGGAGGGCCAGAAAAAGATAGAGGGAGCCCCAGAGAGCGAGGCGTGCGGCTGGGGGCTCGGGCCAGGCCCACTGTCTCTCTCTCAACACCTTCAGGCGCGTCCCTCCATCATATGCAGTGAATGGAGGGGAAAGGGGGGAGGTGCACATGACCCTCGCAATCTGGGGTCAGGTCAAGCCGAGTCAACTAAACAAGGTCTTGTTTCGCTTTCTGTACCAAACCAGTAACCCGAGAAGCCACTTAGGAATGACTCGGAATCGCTCATTCCTTACACTACACAGGAGTCAGCTGCCCCGGTGGCGGCAGGGCCACGAAATCGACAGGCAACTGAGCTCACACAGACAAAACTCAGACCTGCCTCTTCCAGGACGCAGTAAGTGGTCCAAGACTCATCATGCAGGACTTACAAATAAACCCCCAGCTTTCATTATGAAACTGCTGATCTGTTCAACTTCGAAGAACTAAAGCACCGGCAATTTTTTGCCAGCTAAGGAAAAAAAAAAAGAAGAAGAAGAAACCAGAGCTGGAGCGATAGCACAGCGGGCAGGACATCTGCCTTGCACGCGGTCGACCCAGGTTCAATCCCCGGCATCTCCTATGGTCCCGAGCACTGCCAGGGAGTAATTTCTGAGTGCACAACCAGGAGTAATCCCCGTGCATCGCCAGGTGCGACCAAAAAAGCAAAAACAAACACAAAACCACCCCGAACCCTCTTCTGTTCAACACAGACAGAGACTGTGACACTCCCTGGCGTAGCCCACCATCCTGCTACTGACGGCAGCTCACCAACATGCCCGATGAAGACCACGTTCACATGCTCTTTCTTCGGGGCCCCCGGAGGCGCGAGCACCGATTTTGGCTTGGGGATCTCCTCCTCCTCCTCCATCATCTCCTGGGCGCTCTCCTCGGCCGGCCGCGCGTCTCCGGAGGATCCCCCGCTCCGGGGCTCCATGCTGAGCTCTTCCTTGTGCTCCCAGGATTCTTCTGGGGACATTTCTGTCTCTCCGTTTTCTACCGAGACCAGAGGACCGGATTTAGTGCTGGAAGGGATACGCGTTCTGGATACAACGGAGACTTTCAGACAACCAGCATTCTATTTCAGAAGATCTGGTGTGACACTTAAGCAGAAACATCTTTCACGTGGGGGCTGGAGCGATAGCACAGCGGGCAGGGCGTTGGCCTTGCACGCGGCCGACCCGGGTTCGATTCCCAGCATCCCATAGGGTCCCCCGAGCACCGTCAGGAGTCATTCCCGAGTGCAGAGCCGGGAGGGACCCCTGAGCACTGCGGGCGTGGCTCCCAAACAGAAACAAAAATGAAAAATATGTAAACAACAGGAAACAAGAAAAACGTGGCAGACACGAGTTTTTCTTCTCTTGCAGGGGCGGGGTGGGAAGGGCTCAGGCCACTCGTGGGGATTCTCGGCCAACTCGGCCAGAAGGTCCAACGCTAGGGCCGAAGACACGCGCTGCTCAGTCCCAGTCATAGGCCACCAGGACCACAGATGGACCCTGGGCCAGGCGCAGGCAGGGCACTGACACCTTAACCCCGCTGCTCGTTTCTCTGGCCTGAAGTTTCGTTGTGCGTGTCTCTGGCAAGGAATACAACTCTGACATCGATTTCCCTCTCGTTTTCTGGTTCACACCCGGCACTGTCAGGGATCAAATCTGGGTCGGCTACACCCAAGGCAAGCACCTAGCTCACTGTCTTATGTCCAGCCCCGGTATCAACTTTCATGCCACGGCACTATAAAGCTTTTTTAAATTTTGGGTTAAACCTGGCAGTGCTCAGGGGGCCACCTGGGGTTCCGGGGATCAATCCCAGGTCGGCAGCATGCAAGGCAAGCGCCCTCCCTACTGTACCATTGCCCTGGACCTTTAAAGCTCTGTAAGAATAATCACATTAGACTGGAGAGATAGCTCCAAGGGTTAAGCACAGGCTTTGCACGTGGGAAGCCCAGGAACGGACCCCAATACCCGCTAGATGTGCCCTACCTGGCAGAGCACCAGCCTCCGATGTGCAAGGTTTTTTTTTTGCTTTTTGGGTCACACCCGGCGACGCTCAGGGGTTACTCCTGGCTCATGCACTCAGGAATTGCTCCTGGCGGTGCTCGGGGGACCATATGGGACGCTGGGAATCGAACCTGTGTCGGCCATGTTTGCTGCATGCAAGGCAAACGCCCTACCCACTGTGCTATCGCTCCAGCCCCTGTGCAAGGTTTTAGAGCCATCCCACTGCACACGGCCACTGGGCTGAGATCATGCACCCCTGTGCAAAACGGAAAGAACAAAGCTCTAGGAGGAAGTTCGGGAATTCTGTGAACAAACATCATCTGTTAAAGCAGACTTCAGCGTTATTCTGGAACTCAATTCCTTGCATGCGCTGCCATCATTAATGCGGTTATCCCAGAATGCTAAGCCCTATGCCAACCCGAATGGCAACGGCCCCAACACTGGTCTGAAACGAAGGCCCTGCAATTACCAGAACTCCAGAACATTTGTACTTGCAATCTTTTTTTCTTGCTTTTTGGGTCACACCCAGTGATGCTCAGGGGAACATATGGGATGCTGGGGATTGAACCCGGGTCGGTCGTGTGCAAGGCAAACGCCCTCCCACTGTACCCTCGCTCCGGCCCCTGCACTTTCAATCTTGAGAGAGAAAGCTTCACATGACTGTTTAATAGGGTCAGACATTTTCTTACCAACAGGTTCTGAAAGTTCCATGCTAACAGCTGAGTTCGAACCTAGACAAGAAATGGAGACATAATATTTACAAAGCGGCGTCTAGCCTTGGGCACCACAGGCAGGCCATGATCGCGGATCGGAAATTACCTTCACACGACGATGGCTCCTCCTGAGAAGGATCCCCGGGCGCTGTGTAATGGAAATAAACTTTACTTAAAAGGCAGCGTAAAAAGGAGTTCAGTGCCACAACGAAACCTTCAACAGTCAACTTCAACGGCACTCACAAAGGTTTTCAAAGTCCAAAGTCTCTATGTGGCTGGTCACTGTCATGTCCTCCCGTTGTTCATCGGTTTGCTCGAGCGGGCCCAGTAACGTCTCCATCATGAGACTTGTTGTTACTGTGTCTGGCATCTCGAATACGCCACGGGGAGCTTGCCAGGCTCTGCCGTGCGGGCGAGATACTCTCGGTAGCTTGCCGGGCTCTCCGAGAGGGGCGGAGGAATCGAACTCGGGTCGGCCACGTTGGCTTATGTAGCCTACTTAAGGAATATACCACCATAGAACCTTTTATTGTTTCTTATTTTTATTTTGGGAGGGGGTGGGGATTTGGATACACCCAGCTGTGCCCCAAAGGGCTTTTCTTAGTTCTGTACTCAGGGACCCCCAGACGATTCTTGGGGCTCCGTATGTGATGCCAGCACCTCCCTCTGTACTAGATCTGTCTAATTACTGACGATTTGGAAATGTTTCCAGCACAGGGCTGGAACACCTGCTTTGCGTGTGGGAGTCCCAGGTTCAATCCCTGGCACCACATGGTCCTGAGCACTGAGAATGACCCTCAAAACACTGTGAGTGTTCTGGAAAGAAAGACAAAATACGAATAAATGAAACATCTTCAGCAACCGAAATGGATCATCAAAGCATCCTGACTCTCCCGAACTCCTCCTTCGTGTGCTCCACAGGCAACCGGGGGCCAGACACACAACAGGCAGGTGAGGCGCCTGCCCTGCATACATGTGTTGAGGCTCAGATTTGAACCCCCCAGCACCCCACACGGTCCCCTAAACAATGCAGGCTCACTCTGGAGTGCAGAGCCAGGAAGAGCCCCCGAGCAGGACTGAGTATGGTCAGTCCCCAAACCGCAAAACAAACAAAACCCCAACTTCAGCTTTTAAGATTTATTTGCTAAATAAAGGTTAGAATCTGAGAGAAGGTAATGCTTCATATATATGTAATGATAGTTCCCACAAATACACGGTAAGGGGCCGTACGCAGTCTCGGGGACCAGAATGATAGCACAGCAGGGGGGCGTTTGCCTTGCACGCGGCCGACCCAGGTTCGATTCCCAACATCCCATATGGTCCCCTGAGCACCGCCAGGAGTTAATTCCGGAGTGAGTGCAAAACCAGGAGGAACCCCTGTGCATCGCCAGGCGTGACCCAAAAAACCAAAAAAAAAAAAAAAAAAAAAAAAAAAGGAAAAAAACCAAAGCCAGGTCCAGCATCTAGTAGAAGGGTCACCCCCGTCCTTCAAGCCCCCCAGGTCCGGGAGGCAGCGGCAATGGTGGAGATACGCGACCACATGCTCAACTCCAGGGTTAAGCTGGCACGACATGACCCTAGCCTAGCTGTGTCGCTGGGCACTGAATCACGGAGCCCGCATAGTCAGCTGAGTATTGCCGTGAGCAACCTCAGGCCCCTCGAACATTGTCTGCCCAAGAATCCAAGACTAAGCAATTCCCCAGAGGAGTCGCCCATAGTCGGAGAAAGCTTCCTAGGCCGGAGCAGGGCCTTGGCTCAGGCGGGTGGGGATTCCTCAGGCCGCTCCCGTCTCCTCGGGGTGCACACCACAGCCCGTTCCTGGTTAGCTACCTGAAGACCAGTGAGCCTGTTGGGGTCAAGTCTACTAGGCACAGGGCAGAGAGCGAGCCCCCCAGGAATGGAATCACTGAAGCATCTTCTTTCAAAGGCGTCCTCCGTTCTCAGAACCACGCCCTCACCTCGAGCAATCACTTCAGGGGGCAGTTACCCCAGTGTGCCACCGATTCCCTGGTCCTGCAGGATTATCTGGTCCTGCAGACTTGGCAATCAAGGGAGGTGAATGAGCCGTCAATGACGCGGCACCAGAGATCCTGGGCACAGAGGATGGCCTAGACAGCGAAGTTGTTAAAATGCGGGTGCTGGCAAGAGAGCACAGTGGGCAAGGTTCTTGCCTAGCACACAGACCTGGGTTCAATCCCGACACCCCAGACAATCCCCTGAGCCCCACCAGGAGTGATCCCGGAGTGCAGAGCCAAGGGTAAGCTCTGAGCTCTGCTGAGCGTCCCCCCAAGCAAAAAAGAAATGGGGAGGAGGTGCAGAGAGAGAGTGCAGCGGGCAGGGCACCAGCCTTGCACAAAGCCAAAGCAGGCTTGGCCCCAGACATCCCAAGTGCCCGCACCCCCCAGCACTGAAGTCCGCCCTTCGATGAGGTCACATGACCGTACCATCCACCAAAAATTGCGGGGGCATACAAAATATGCACCAATTAGGACCGGGAAGAGCAGGTCCCTGGCACGCTCCGCAGACACGAGAGAGGTGACCCCCGCCTCCGCCTTGGATGACCTGCCACTCCAGGAGCCCGAGCGCCAGCCCCCGGGGCCAAGCGCACACGCTGCAGGCAGGAGCCCGGGTTCTACCTGCAGTCCGCGTCCTCTAGGGGCCGCGCGGAGTGCCACCCCCCGTGACCTAACACTCTACAAATAGAAGGGCACCTGACAGGTACTGGGAAACAGAGCTGTCACACGTATTCACTTTAGGGTACTTCAGGAAGTCTTTCCTAAAATGCAGAAGCAATTCTCCATCACCACAAATAGTCAATAATTCCGGTGTCAGGGCATCAAACCCAGGGCCCCACCACGGAGCCAAGTTCCAGCCCATGCACTGCTGCAGTGAGACTTGCACCACCCAGGTCAGCTATGGTGCAGTGCCCCGTCCATGCCCGCAGGACTGTCTCAGTCAAACTCAGCTTCTGTTTGTTTAGGTTCTAGGGACATGCCCTGCAGTGCTCTGGGTGTCCAGCCAGGCCTCTGGCATCCAGGGTCTCCACTCAGCCCCCAGGGCTGTCTCCCTGGCCCCTGAAATCTATTTTTTTGCTTTTTGGGCCACACCCAGCATACTCAGGGGTTACTCCAGGCTCTGCACTCAGGAGTGACTGCTGGCAGTGCTATGGGATGCTGGTGATCGAGACCCAGGTTGGGCGTGTGCAAGGCCAAAGCCCTCCCTGCTGTTCTATTGCTCCGGCATGCCCCTAGATCTTTGAATGTCAAATCCAAGGAAATGTAATCCAAGGAAAGGATCTGTCACCTCAGTATTATCAGTTCTGGAGTGTTCACCTAGCCACTCGCCTCGGGCTTTGGATTCTTGCGGACCACGGGACAATGGTATTGGGCCACACCTGCAGACACTCAGGCCCACTCCTGGCAGTATTTCAGGAGAACATACGGTAGCTGGGGGAAACATACGCAGCACTGGGTTTGGTCACAAGGGAAACACCCTGCCCCTGCCCCAGGCCTCCAGTCCCAGCTTTGGCTTCTTTATGTGAAGATGAGACTAACACTGCGAGGGTCTCTTTGAGCCCTGGTGCTCTCTGGGCCCATCGTTCTGTTACAAAGCTGGGCCTTCCAGCAACCCGAACGGACTCTCTGTAGACAAAGAACAACCTCCTCTCCTTCCCCAACAACCCTAAGGTGCTCTTATTTAGGAAGCATCCCTGACGCTTCCAGTAACACACAGGAAGGTAAGGGGACGGTCCCTGCTGACTGAGCCATAGCCTGATGCAGGCAGCCCACAGAGCGCTGGGTGGCCTGGTGACCCCGGGAACCCGAGAGCAAGAAGCCACCGAGCACAAGACGGACCCCGAGCAGCTGCTGCTGCCGCCTCTCCCCGCCCCTCGGCTTTCTGGGTCACACCCAGCGATGCTCACGGGTCACTCCTGGTGGTGCTGGGGATCCAACCTGGGTTGACTGCGTGTGAGGCTGGCCCACAGCTGTGGCCCCAGTGCCGAGCTTCTCAAGCCAGCTCGTTCCCGTGACCCAGGCGAAACAGGGTTTGGAATCTGGAGTCACCACTCGGGCAAGTGAAGATCCTCACCGAGTCCTTACTAAGCATTTCTCTCGCCTTCAAAGCAGGTGAACTGGTTTTACACACTGAGATCAAAAAGGGAACTGGTCCAAATGGGGGCACTGAAACAAGGGCCGGATAAACCTGAATTCCCTTCTTAAAACAGAACCACTCTAGAAAAATAAATCTATGGCCAATCTTTGTCAAAATCTACTGAAAACCAGGACAAAACCTGAATTAAAAACAAACAAACAAAAACGGCAAGGGGGGGCACACCCAGGCCAGCCACATGCTCAGCAGACGCCCCATCCACTGTGCTATGGCACGAGCTCCCACGACTCAACTTTTAAGTAACTGTGGGGTGAGAGGAATGTGAGGACCCCAGAACAGTCGACTTTCAACTCGTGACCGAATCCTTTTATTTAGTCTTTGGTTTATGGGTCGCATCTGATACTTGGGTCACTCTAGCTAGGCGCTTAGCAATTACTCCTGGCAGGGTCTGGCAAACCATCTCCGATGCCAGGGATTGAATCCGGGTCATCTGCACACAAGGCAAGTGACTTCCCGGCCACACTATCATCCCAGCCCCACTGGCGGCCAGATTCTGCCTCCAAAGGGTTATTATTATTTTGGGCTGGGGCCACACCCAGCAGTGCTTAGGGCTTGCTCCTGGCTCTGCACCAGGAGTCCCTCTCGGAGGACGAAGGGGACCACAAGCGACGCTGGAACCCTAACCTGCATTAGCCGTGCACAAGGCGAGCCCCTTAGCTGCTGCATTACCTCTCAGGCCCCAGATTTTTAAAAAGCCAAAAAATTCGGAGAATGATGAAATCCTGAATTCAAGCGCCCAAGAGGTAACCGGGCCGACTGGTGCTAAGCTTGCTGGAAAGCGACAGTAGCACCGGGCTCTCGGCGTGCAGAGGGAGCACTCGAGGGGATGTGGGGGCTCTGGGCTGGGTGCACAGCACCAAGGCCGGTGGAGCCTCGAACCCCCTTGAACACCACAACGCGTGGCCCCCAAACAAATCAGAACTAAGGTAGCGCGGTGGGCCAGGGCGGGCTCAGTGGCACAAGCCTGCCCGGCAAGCATGGGGCCGGAAGCCTGATTCTCAAGCCCACTCACCGACGGCCGTCTGGGACCCTGGCATCCTCAGAGCGTGCCCTCTCCCGCCCGTGCAGGGGAGCTGGTGGCCCCGGGAAGCACAGCCGCCAAGTGTGCAGGAAAGCCTCAATCAGCTCCCAGCAGCAGAAAGGGGGGACGGGAAGGGGAACTGAAAACATGGAGGGAGGGGCTGGAGCCATGGCACAGCGGGCAGGGCGTTCGCCTTGCAAGTGGCAGATCCGGGGTCGATTCCCAGCATCCCAGATGGTCCCGAGCACCGCCGGGAGTGATTCCCGAGTGCAGAGCCAGGAGGAACCCCTGAGCATCGCTGGGTGGGACCCAGAAAGAAAACAAAAAACAAAATGAAAGAAAACCCCCATGAATGGAAGGGGCCAGCCACAGCCATGGTACAGCAGGGAGGACGCTTGACTGGCACGCAGTAACCCGGGTTCCATGCCTGAGTGCAGAGCCAGGAGTAACCCCTGAGCACTGTCGGGCCTGGCCCCCAGACAGTAACAAAACAAGAAAAACTGAAAAAAAAAAAAAAAGTAATTAATTCTACTGGGGTAGGAGCTGAGGGTAGAGGGCAGGGTGCGATGTACCCCCCCTCCCCCAAGGGGATCAGCGGCTTGAGGAAAGAAGCCCAGGTCCTGGCCCCTTTCTGCGAGGGTCCTTGGGCCACCGTCAGGTTCTGGTTATATGCCACCCGGGAGATGGGATAGGGCTTAACATTGGCTGAATCCTGGCAACTCATCTAGGGTCCTCAAGCACCGCGCTCACCGCCACCTCCCACCAAAAGCCACTTCCCCATGGAGCCAGAGCAGCTCAAAGACTGAACAATGTATCGCCCGGGTCTTCTCCACATGAGGAATCCAGAAAAGCAGAAGACTGAAACTAATATACACAGAATCGCCCAAGACGCTTCTCCCAGCACCAGGATCGCTGGGTGTGGCCCCCAGAGCAAAAAGATGAACAGAGACAGAATAAAAAGGGCGGGCTGAAGCCAGCCCCAGGACTGCCCAGGGAGGCCCCCCCCACACAAAACAAGCCGCGGTGTTGGGGCCCAGTCCTCCCCTCAGGCGTCCTAAGGGTGCGGGTTTGGCAGGAAGCGCTGGGGCGGGTGGGGGGAGCAAACCCCGACCCCAATGTGTGTGCCCCCACCCAGTCACATGCCAAAACCCTAGGCTCTAGGAACAGTGTCTGCCGTGGGCTTGGGGGGCACTGAGGGCGAGTATCTGCGGGTCAGTATCTTTAGGAAAGAAGCCGGAGTCGGTGCTGCCCCTTGCTGAGACAGCAGCGGGCCACCTGAACCAGGGTCCCCAGCCTACCCAGGCTCCGTAAGGCCCAACCTTCTGCTTCGAGAAACACGAGTGGCGATGTTCTGTTTACAACCCACAAGCAGTCAAGTTCGGCTTATGAGGCAGTTTCTGCCTTCGACGCAGCAGTCCACACAGACAAAGACACCGCGCACCAAAGGGACATGGCTAAACCTGTTTCTCAGCTCACGACAAGACCGGGGCCAGGGAAACGGCTCAGTGGGTCGGAGCACAGAACGGCCACGCGACGGTCCCGGCAGTCCCTGCGGGAAGTGGTCTCACGCGAAAAGTTGGGAACAGCCCTTGAACACCAGGCACGGTCTAAGCGTGTGTCACAGAAAGTGTTCAAAGGAACTGTGGTCTTCTAGTGGGCAGCATGTTTGCCCTGCACGCAGCTGACCCAAGTTCAATCTCCGACATCCCGTATGGTCCTTTGAGCACCGCCAGGAGTAATTCCTGAGTGCAGAGCCAGGAGTAACCCCCGAGCATAGCTGGGGTGTGACCCAAAAAGAAAAGGAAAAAAATAAACTGGTCTTTTTTGGGGGGTGGGGTACATGGACACCTGGCAGTGCCTGGCTTCCTCCTGGCTCTGTGCTCAGGGGTCACGCACCGGATCAGCCAAATCAAGTGCCTTACGCCCAATATCAACTCTCCTGCCCAGGAAAGGAACCGTCTGCCCCGTACACGTATCCCTCCTGTCTTCCATTCATTTCAGGGCCACTACACTTTGCAGGTCATCACTCGAGTCAATTTGGTTCTGAAGAAAATGTACTCAAACCACTTACACTTAATTACACTTCAACAAGGCCTGCCTACACCATCTCCTTGGAAACGGGCACTAAATTTCCAGAGACCAAGATCAACTGGATCCCAAATTCTGGAAGCCGACGGGAAGGGCTGCCGATCCGTGAAGGTGAACCACGCGGGTAGAAGTGCTTTGCTCTATGGTGGCACGAGAGACGGTTTTTAAACAAAGGCGCTTCAGAGAGGGCTGCGGGTTCAAGCCCCTGCGCACCACTGGGTGTGGGCCCTCAAATGAGGCGATAAGCAGCCCTTTTCCATGAAAAATGACAGTAGCCCGGTTCAATACACACCTGGCACCATTTCAGCAATGGCTTAACAATAAAGAAATTTGGTTTCTGTCATTTACCTCATTATTATTAAAAAAAAAAAAAGAGTGGGGCAACCACAAAGGGGCAGAATGCATGAAGCTTTGAGTTCAATTCCCTGACAGAACAGAGGTGGCCCTGGGGCAGGCCCAGAGCGGCACCTGGTCCCCTGGCCAGTGTCACCAGCAGTGATCCCAGGCGGCATAGAACAGCTGGAGAGACGGTCGTTCCCATTTTCTAAACTTTAACCTCAGTGTTACTTCCAAATATTGTCCGACAGGCAGAATTTTACAGACAAGAGGGCACTGCAACACTAACAGAAGCGAGAGCCACGTACAAGGGGACTCCACGTGGGAAACCCCATTCTTTTTACAAACCGTGGGTGTTTTTTCCTTGTTTCTTCCCTCCCGTGGGCTAGGGAGACATGCAGTGCCAGGGGCTGGAGTTCAAACCCAGGCACCACCATGAGTGGAAAAAAAAAATCCAAGCAAAGTTACCCAGCATTTTTGAGAAACAGCTGGAAAAGCCAGCGACATTGAAAATAGACTTTTACTAAAAAAGAAAAAAAATTGGGTGATTTTTTTTTTGTTTTGGGGTCACACCTGGGATCACACGGGACATTTGGGGGTGGAAGCTGGCTAGTTGCATGCAAGGCAGGCCCTCTCCGCGCTGGACTATGCTCCGGTCCCTGCCGGACCACTCCCTTACACATTTTGAGGCCTCCAGCGAGTAGAGCAACAGGGGGCAGGGGGGAGAGTAAAATCTGCTTCAGCAAGTACCAGGACCAGAGCCGACGGTCCTCTTGGTAAGAGGCAAGCCTGGTCCCCCAGTGGGGTACCAGGCTGTGGCCTGGCTGGACACGGAGTCCAGGGCTCCTGGGTAGCCAGGAAGGAAACGGCTGGGGGCAGGCGCTTTCAGGATCTGCCGGGGAACCTGCTTGGGCAGCCAAAAGGGCTGGATCCAGGCTCGTGAATACAAGCTCCCAAGTTCCCGGTCCACAAGGAAGAGACTCGGGCCCCCTAGGAGATGACCCACCAATAAACAACCAAATCCAAACCGCTCAGACGCAAAAGCCAGCCACAGCCGCAGAGACCTCCAGCCCCTCCGACCCTGGCGACCCTGGCACGGGGTCTTGAAAAGAGATTGTCCATCGCCAGAAGAGCAGCTGGGGCCTGCCAGGTCCAGGGATCCCGGGGTGGGCTCGGACCTCTGCCTCTGCGACCCCCAAGTCCACGCATCATCATCATCCACCGGGGCCAAGGGGCAGCGACGGCCCTGCAAAAAAACTCGGCCCCGGGCAGCAGCCGGAGCTGGGGCCTGCGATCCCAGGGGATCCCGAGGGACCCCGAGACGGGGGACAGCACGTCCGCGGGCAGGACAGCAGGTGAGAGGCGCCCGGTGGCCACAGAAATTACCGCTCCGCGTCCCTGGGCGCAGGGGCAGAGCAGGAGGAGCAGAGCGCGCGAGCACGCGCCCCTCCCCAAAGAGCTGAAAATAAGGGGGGGAGATGGGGGGGAGGGGGGCGAACTTCACGCGTCGAGAATGGAACGGAGTCCCCCGTAAAGGAGAAAAAGGGAAAAAAAAAAAGGAAAAAAAGAAAAGCCTTCCCCAGCCTGGCCTCGACACTGGTGGGGGTAGGAAGCGGGGGGGGGGGGGGGCGCACACGACCCTCTGCAAGCCTCCCAAGAAGATGCATATCAAAAAAATAATAATAATGATGATGATGATAATAATAAGGCCGTGGCGGACCGAACCAGGCCCCTTTTCCTCTTCCAAAATTGCACCGCGGGCGCGTTGCGAGGCACGTCGGGCTTCATTCCTTCCGGACGGCTGAGCGCAGTGCCAGCGTCCAGGGGCCGAGGGGACGGCTGGGGGGTGGTCCCCGCGCTCCCCGCGCTCCCCGCGCCCCCCCACCCCGCACCCCCGGCCCGCCACGTGCCCCGACCCGGCGCTGGTACTTGCGTCCAGGTCCCCCGGCCTCCCCGCGCCCGCCCCGGCGCGCCCCTTACCCGCGGGGCCCCCCTCGCCGCCGCCGCCGGCTCCGTGCTGGGGGTCGGCGGCGGGCGGGGGCGCGGGGCCCGGGCCGCGCAGGAAGGCGGGCACGAACTCGGCGGCGTGGACGTTGGGCACGAAGGGCTTGGCGTTGACGTTGAGCTGCCGGCCGAAGGCCGCGCTCAGGGGCTCCCGCGGGGCCTCGGGCGCCGCCGGGCCCGCGCCGGGCGCCTCCGGCTCCGCCTGGTCCCAGCAGTCGGGCGCCGAGTCGCTGCTGCCGCTGCCGCCGCCGCCGCTGCCCGGGTCCATGGTCGGGGCGCGGGCGGGTGCGCGGGTCCGGGCGTGCGCGCGGGGCGGGAGGCCGGGGCGGGCGCGGGGCAGGCCGCGCCGGGCGGGCCGGGCACGGAGGCGGCGGCGGCGGCGACTCGGGCCCCGGCGGCGTCGCGGCCCTCGCTCGGGCTCCGCCGGCCGCTCGCGACGACGGGGACGAGGGCGACGAGGGCGACGGCGACGGCGGCGGCGGCGCCTCGTCAACCCTCCGCGTGTCGGTGCGCGCGGATCTCCGCCCACCCAACCACCTCCGGCCGCGCCGGCCCCACGCCCGGCGCGGATTGGCCCCTCGCGGCCACCCGTACCCGCGCCGCGGTAGTTCTCGGCCCCGGCCCGGCCCGTTTCCGGCCAGCCGCAGCCCCGGCCGGGAGAACTACGAGTCCCGGCAGCCCCCGCGCGGCCCCGGGGGCCGACGGGAGTCCGAGTTCGGGCGGCGGCGGCCGGAAGTGGCGCCCGCTCCCGGCAGGCCGCGCGCGCGCGCACGCGGAGGCGGCCGGCGGCGGCGGCGCCCCGGGGCGGCCCCCACCTGTCACCGGCTCGCTCGGGGGCGGGGCCGGCCCCGCAGGGCCTCGGCGGGCGGCGGCGGGTGGGCGCGGGGGCGCGGGAGGCCGCGGAGGGCGCACGCCCCGCTCGGGGCCGCCCCCTCCTCCTCGGCGCCCCGCGGGCCCCACCTGGTGCGTCTCCCTTGGGCGCCTTCCCGCTCCCCGCCCCGGGCCCGATGCCGCCCACCCGCCGCCTCCCCTGCACCGACGCCCGGCGCCCGGCACGCCCCGGGCCCAGGGGGCGGCCGGACCGGAAACCCCGCAGTGCGCGGCTCGGGCCCGGGGCACCGGCCGGCGGCCGCGTTGCAATGACCCACTGCCCGGCTCGTCTCTGGAAAAGGCCGGGTCCAGACTCTGCCATCCCTGCGCCCCTCCCGAGCCGGCCAGGCCCTCGCAGGATGCAGCGGGACCGCCCGCGGGCGCCCACGTGCACCCAGGCCCACCCCGGGGGGCGATGCTTGCAGGGGGTGCAGCCAGCTTCCTCCCGAGGTGAAGGGGTGGGGGTGGTTGTCTTGGTGCACTCTTCTCCTGGTGTCCCATTGGGAGCGGAAGGGAAGGAAAAAAAAAGATCCACGCAAAATAAAACCAGGCAGTCCGCAAAAATTTGGATTCTGTGTCCAGTGGTCATTCGCTCTCAGCAGCTGCCTTGGGCGGTCCTTAGCATCTCTAGACTCTTTTTTTTTTTCCCCCCCTGAAAAATGAGATTGTCACAGTTCTAAGGTCATTTCTAGTCCTAAGGTTCTGTCTATTTATTTATTTATTTATTTATTTTGCTTTTTCGGAATGAGATGTCATAATAAAATGGCATTTATTATGACATCTCATTCCTACTTTGACAGACTGGCAGGCTCCTGAATGTAGCCTGCCCACCTGGCAGAGTCTGGCAAACTCCCCGTGGCGTACCCAATATGCCAAATACCAGTAACAATGATGGGTCTCATTCTCCTAAAGAGCCTTGAATATAATCTCAGGGCTAGAATGAAGGAGACGTTACTGGGGCCTGCTCGAGGCAATCGACGAATAACAGGATGATTTGTGATCTGTGATCTGTGATTTTGCTTTTTGGGTCACACCCGGCAATGCACAGGGGTTATTCCTGGCTCTGCACTCAGGAATTACTCCTGGCGGCGCTCGGGGGACCCTATGGGATGCTGGGAATCGAACCTGGGTCAGCCGTGTGCAAGGCAAATGCCCTAGCTGCTATGCTGTCGCTCCAGCCCCTAGTCCTAAGGTTCTAAGAATCCAACTACTTATTTAGTCACTAAAGCAAAGCGTTCCTTCTATCTTTGCATCTAGAGTTTCTGTAGAGAAAGTAGAATTTCGCTGTTTTTAGAACCACCCTAAAAGTCTTGAAAGCATGCCCAGAAGAGGGCCGCTGCCATCTGACCTACATGCCTGGCACCTCATCGGGTCCCTAGAACCCCAACAGGAGTGATCCCTGTAGTGCAGAGTCAGGAATAAGCCCTGAGCATCACTGGTGTGGCCCCAACCGACGCCCAAGGAAAAATAAGAAAAAGGAGAGGGAAAGCGAAGTTGCCCTGAGTCTGTCACTTTTTCCTGTAACTCACCCAGGAGGAGCCCGTGACAGACAAAACATCTCATTTTTTTTTTTTACCCTGCCAAGGTGCCTACAAAGGGTGACTAACTTGCTAGATTACTGGGTTATTGGCATGAATTCACAGAACATAAAATGCTGCTTAACCAACCTCATGCTGAGGTCTAAAATCTAGTTCTAAATAGGAGCTGTTTGTTTTGACCACATTTAGAGAGTCAGAACATTATGCCTAAAACTTAACTATCAATAACTTAACAAAATTTTTGTTTATTTAGGTTTTTTAAGCTACATCTGTGGTGTACAGGGCTTACTCCTGGCTCTGCATTCCTGGAGGGGTTTGGGGGAACCATATGGGATACCAGGAATTGAACCCAGGTCGCCCGCAAGGCAAACTCCCCACATGCTGTGCCATTGCTCCAGTCCATGATCTGAAATTCTTACTCATTCTCATCCTTGTTACTCATCCCCTCCTGCTGGAAAAGAATTCCTGGAGTCTGTGTTAGTCAAGGTTAGGTTCCAAACTCCTACCCTGTCTGAGACAGAACAATAGGCCAGTAAAGTTTGTCAGAGAAAGAGACACATGTATCTCTTTGAAATGGTAAAAAGGTTTTAAGAGCTTGGAGAGTTACATATTAAACAGTACATAGAAGTTGTATTTTGTAGGTGGGTTTGGATATAGAGTGTAGTTGCAATTTTTTTCTTTCTGTTTTCTCCTTGACAATAAACAAATTGTTCTTTTGTTAGTTCTAGGTCACAGCTGAGTGCTAGAGGACTTTTTTTTTTAAATTTTTTTTTGCTTTTTGAGTCACTCCCAGCGGTGCACAGGGGTTACTCCTGGCTCAGCACTCAGAAATTACTCCTTGCTTTGCTTGGGAGGCCAGACGGGGATGCTGGGAATCAACCCCGGTTAGCTGTGTTCAAGGCAAATGCCCTACCCGCTGTGCTATGGCTCCAGCCCGCCTAGAGGCTATTTTTGACGTGCAAAATTCCCCATTTTTAGCGACCTCTCTGATCCCAATAATAACCTTTCCATTTTTATTTTGGGGAAGAGTTGGACCACACTGGGAATGCTCAGGGGCGATTCTTGGTCTGTGCTTGGGAGGACTCTGTGTGTTGCTCGGGGGTTCAACCCAGGGTGAGGCCAGTGCAGCTGCTTGCAGGGATGGTATCGTGAAAATCAAATCCTGTGACGAGGTTGGGGAGAGAGCGCAACACAGCTGGAACTTTGGGACCTGAGCCATAGAACAGCGGGGAGGGCATCTGCTTTGCACGGGGGCGGATCTTGGTTCAATCCTCAGTGTCCCATATGCTCCCCGAGCATTGCCACGAGTTAATTCCTAACTGCAGAGCCGGGAGTAACCCCTGAGCAATGCTGGATGTGGCCCAAAAACCAAAAAGGGAAAAGGGAATAAAAAGACTGGAACTTCCTTACTGGAAACCTCAGGTTGGATCCCCAGCACCCGCACGGTCCCCAGGATGTCTCTGGAGTGACCCCCGCACCACACCACTTATTAGATGTAGCCGAAAAGGCAAAACCATAAGGTCAGGGTAAGGACAACGGACAGTTCTGTCCTAAGGAGTCCTGCCTCTTGGTGCCAGAGATGTCCTCTGCCTCTGTCCTGTCGCCTCCTCTGCGTCAACACTCTTCCCAGGGTTGCAGCTGGGAAAACCAGTTGTGTTACTTTTCCCGGGAACCAGAGATGCTTCCGGGAGTAAATCTGTCCCTTTGCAGCCTCTTCCAAGCGCCTGTCTGTGTCTGGAGAAAGTGCTGGGGTCCTCACAGGCACTCTGCTCTAAGATATAATGATCATGGCCCCCTGGGGGTTTCCCTCTCAGAGAATCGCCCCCTCCTCTGCCCCCCAAGAATAGAGCCTTGGGACCCCACTGACAGCAGCCCGGATTCCCAACTCAGTTCTCTGATTAGCATAGCTCTCCCCTTAGAGGGTATCTTAAGCAGGCCTGGGGGTCCGCTGCCTTATTTATTAATTTACATTTGGTGCCTTGGTGCTAGACATGGGCCCCCTCCACCCTCCTGTGAATGGGAAAGAGCCCTAGCGAAGGGCGCTGAGTTCCTTTGATGATAATCAGTTGACAAAAGCCATTCTCCAGGGGTGGAGTTATAGCACAGTGGCCATCTCTGGTTCGATTCCCAGCATCCCATAGGGTCCCTCGAGCACTTCCAGGAGTAATTCCTGAATGCATGAGCCAGGAGGAACCCCTGTGCATTGCCAGGTGTGACCCAAAAAGCTAAAAAAAAAAAAAAAAAAAAAAAAAAAAAAAAGAAAGACATTCTGCAAATTTCGGATTTATTATTCCCGAGAGATCAGCGTCCTGCTTACTAGGGTTTTCTTTCTTTTTTTTTTCTTCCTAGTTCTGGGCCACACCCAGCTGTGCTCAGGGTTTCACCTGGCCCTGTGCTCAAGGTCACCCCTGAGGGTGCTCAGGGAACTCTGTGTGGAACCAGGGATGGAAGAGAGGTCAGCCACGTGCAAGGCCACACCTCTTGGTGGCTCCTTCCTATCAACGCCTGGGGAAACCCCACCGGGATCTGGCAAAGCATATGTGCTCCAGGCCTTTGACTATCTCCAGCCCTACCCAGGTCAGCCGGTTTTGTTCGCTCTTTGAGTCTTGGGGCCACACTTGGCGGCACTCAGGGGTTACTTATGGCTCTGTGCCCAGGGATCACTTCTGGAAGTCCTCCTGGGGCGTCCAGGGATTTGAATCAGGATTTTAGCTACCACAAGGCAAGCGTTTGGCCTCCTGTACTATCTTTCCAGCCCCAACCCGGAGAGTTTTAGCTGAAAGGTCATCCTGTTAAATAATGCATGTAACGTATGAATATGTAATCACAGCATTTACATATACTAAGAAGCCATTGGGT